AAAATACTTATCAGAAGAAGCACTTTTGAGGTTGCACCCCCTAATACAGACACTGTTGGAGAAGCTGCTGGGTAGACACGCAAGAAAGTGCTAAAATGGCAGTTCATATGACTAGCTGACATCTTCCATTCAGTCGTCATGCTGATATGGCTATCGAAATGGTACTGTTAAACTTGATTATAATTGAAAGGTGGCTGGAAACCGATTAGTCGGAATAGATCTCCGCAAGAATAGGAATATATATATCCTTAGGCAATTAAAGACCACATTCCACTGCCTTTTTTTGTTTTTTTCCTTGCGCATATGGAGGAAAATGCAATGTACACGACAAATATTAGATCAGAAGAAAGAAAAAGAATAAGTTCCGGGGAAAGAGTAGATGGGGATGGGCAAACAACTTTTATTATTAACCCCGAGCAAAACAACAGTAAGGGAGAGAGATGCGAAGCAAAATAATTTGATTTCACTGTGGTTTTTTTTTTTTAACCCTTCCCAGTTTCACTATAAAAAGGATCCAAAGGGTGAGGGGGTGTATGCTGTGCAGACAGAGAGTGAGCTGGCAGATGGCTTCATCCTCAAGTGAGTATGCGCATCTTGTTAGAGTTGGAATGGAAGGGTTTGCTTTTCTGGAGGATAGGATGGCGCCAACCCACAGGCGGTCTCTTGTTCATCACTGCCATCCAAAACTCAATCATTCTGCTATTCACAAACCAGCTGCTGGAGCACCTGTCATTGATAACTATGAAGCTGCACGCAAATACGGAGGCGCTATAATTCTCAACCACGCCACCAGAAACCCCCCATCCCGCTACTAAACCGCCACAAGTATGCTTGTTCCGTCCTATATGTGTGTGTGTAGACACAGACAAATAAGAGTTCCATAATGGAACCGCATGCCAAGGGCCCTTTGGGTGTTCCTGGCTGCTACGTTGTATGCTTCTATGCATGTGTGGCTTTTAATTATATATACGTACTGGTCCTATTATAGCTTTTAATATTAGCTACATCCTCTGCAATATATGAATAGAATAAACAGTTCTGATGCGTCTCTTGCAACTGGGTAATTTTTATGTGAAGCAAAATGGTTTCGCTTCGAAGGGTTTGCATTTTATACAAAAATGAACGATCTTGTTTAGCTAAAATAAGGGAACGCCATTTTTGACAGAGGATCTCTATCCCTATCCATATTTTCACTTGCTCCTACTGATTCTTTCCTGGAATATATGTGGTTGACAATTAATGTGATTTGATCCGTACGTAAGAAGATCAAGAAAGACTGGTTGCGCAAATCATAAAGAGTTAGTATATAGCAGAACCGGAGGAGCTAATAACCGCCAGACATATAAGTATAAGGCGATGGTCACGTCAAAAGCGATATATAGAAGACTTCTCAAGCTATGAAATTGAATTTTTTTCACGAGTTCTAAAATCTGATGGATATGGTTTCCGCAAAGTCATAAGAGAATAAAGAATACTGTGAGTAATTTGCCCAGCAATCGGCACACTGTTTCCAGGAACTACTGTATGGACAGGGGAAAAAGCTTTTTCAAAACTAAATCGAGTTTTCATACTGTCAACGGATCGATGCATAATATATCTAGCAACGTACCCTTAGCTTTAACCCAGGAAAAAAATTGACAGAAAAGGCGCGCCTCTGCGATGGATTCTTTGGTGTCTCGGCAATTATATATCACTGCATTTTCTTAGCAATCGCAGATCTTTGTTTTTATTTGTAATTGGCAGATTCATGATTAGCTAACCGGGCTAATTATTACTATTAGAAACTGAAAAACGTAGGGTGAACCGATCATAAATTCACCTCATTCGGACCAGGAATGTAGAGACTATGATACAGGGATCTGGCTTCAACGGTGCATAGTGAGAATTCATTAATGCCACTTTTAAAAGAAAGCAGGTATAGTGCTCTGACTGAATATATAATATGTTCGCGAACAAAAATAGAAGTGGCTTAAATTTCACACACTTCATTTAATTTGGATAGGAAAATGACCAGAGTCGTTCACAGTTCACGGACGGGAGGGGCCTGCATTATTATCACATTATTGTCTTGCATGGAATTAGTGCATGTATCATATATTCTGATTTTAAGGGGCAAAAAATTCCTCGTGATCATGCTCATCCCACGACGAGATGAACCCATAATATTGAGAAATTTATCCGCTGGCGCATTTACACCAATTTTTATGCTCTATAGATATGCGTGGAATAAAGCTAGGCCTTGCGGTCTGTTCTAATTCTTGAAGAAATGGATCGGCTGCAATAATACGTAGCCTGTCGGTTCGTTCTCTTTTGGGCCACCGACTTGTCGTTTTATTCGGCTTTTGTCAGAGATACCATATGTCCATATTTCCAGTGAATGGTGCTGCAGGCTTGGGAGACTAGATGAGGGAATCATAATCGACAATAGGCCAATAATTTCAGATCCTTATTGATCAGCTCATGCACGCTAGGCAATCCATCGAAAGATCTGGTAGATTTTTCTAGTGCTGGGAGATGCCTGTTCAATACTTTGATGAACTACGTATATAGGATCAAAAGTCTGGTTCAGAGGGCTGATTAACTCGAGGCAGGACGAGGTTATTAAGTTTCATTATTGTAATGTAAAAAACGAACACATCGATCTGCATGCAGAACATGCTTTGTGGTATTTAGAGTGGGAAGACAACAAGATGACAAAATTAACGTTAGAAATGGGAAATCAAAGCAGGAAAAGCTTGGTTGGAGAGGAGAAAGCATAAGTGAGTGTGTTTGGCGCAATTGCAATAGCCAAAAAGGGGGTAGAACAAGTGGCCTTTTTGGTTCGATAGATTGTGTGATGGATAGAATAATATTATGTGAAAAGTACCGACTGTTATGGAAAGCTGCATTCGATCACAGTGTTTTTTTTTTTTGGTTGGGCCAAATTCACTGACAATATGCTAAGGGGAGTCGTGTGTGTTTAACTATATACTCGTTCAATCTTTAATATAAGATCTATTTAACTAATTTGATTAGATTAAAGAAGTTAGGTAAGTTAGTTAATTATAAGAAATGTGACACGTTTTTCTTAAAATATCATAATTATCTTTCTTAATATCTCCTATTTCTTTTCAACTTGATTATGGTTGATAAAGTATCCATAGGGATAATTTAGAAAAAATTGATAAATAAAATAAATGGATCTTATATTTATGACTAAAACCAACTCAATAATTAGATCCTGTATTAAGGATCGGAGGAGTATATATATATATATATATATATGAACCCAATCCTTTGACCAAAAAGGGGGGGAAAAAAAAGAACCCAATCATCCGCTGCCACTTGCCAATTACTCCTCCGATCCTAAATATAAGACTATTTTTATAGTATAAATTATCTTATAAAATAAGTCTTATATTTAGAACAGGAAAGAATATCTTAAAATGTTGTCTTGACTTGAGTCCCAAAGAGCACCCACTTTTTGTGCTTGTTTAATTTTAGCGACATTGGAAAAGAACACCAACGTGGGGCACATTCCTTGCGAAGCCGTTGTCCAAGTAGATATGCGTGCATGGACCATGACTTGTTATCACTGTCCAGCACATGTTGCCTGCCCACTTCAACATGTTTCATCCAAATTAATAAAAACCTTAAAAATTTATTTAGTCTGACTTAAAATTTAATAACCTTTTAAGTTTATCTCAATTCAGTATACGCTTATTCTTACAAAAAAAACTTCAGGTGGTATGGAGGGTTTAGCTTTCAAAAAACCAACATCAATCCATGTAATAGCACATAAATTTCATAGAATTTGTGTGAGAATTCCATGAAGACCATGAAAACTGTATAAGAGGCAGCAGAGAAATTTCACGGAAAACAAAACTATGATTATACTAGTACATAGCCAACCATTCTATCCAATAACATTTGTAAGATCCTAGATAGATATTGATTCGTATATACACGATTCCTTACAAAATTTAGCGGGGCCTCGAAAGCATAGTTTTAGAAATGTCCTCGTCTCTTCCATTCACAGGTTAAATAATTAGTAAGTTTAATTATACATAATCTGCGCAAGTCGTACACATCTTTAATATTTAGCTCACTTTAATTAGTTTTCCTAATCTATAGAAAGCAGTTAATAAAAATCTTATAAAAAGATTTGCAGGAAATGGCTTTTAATTTTTCATATCTAGGTGGGTTGGGAATCGAGTACTTGTTGGTATTCATTATTGATAGTCCTGTTTTTACGTGTATGTCGATAATTTTCTTATCATTTCAACTAGTTTAATGCCTACTAAATTTGTATCATTGACTTAATTATTCAAGCTTTTATGTGATATATCGATAATTTTCTTCCTATTTCAGCTAATTTAATGTCTATAAAATTCGGATCATTGACTTATTTATTTAACGTTTATGTTTATAGTTATTACACTTTAAAGTTTTTATTTTAAAATTGATTTTTTAAATTCTCTAATTCCCGTATATGTGCAGTTTTTTTTCCCCTCATGAAATCATCTCTTTTATTAAAAAGGGTTGACGTTTATAGATTAACACGGAAGATTTTATTTGTCAGAAGGAAGTATGTCAAACTAGAACTTATATGAAAATTGACTGTCAAAAAAATCTGCCAACCCTTATTATCAAATAAAAAAAGGGAGAGTAAAAAATGAAGTCCATAAAAATGACTAAATATTAAATCAGAATTGGTTACCACAGACAATACTTGATTTGTAAATAATAATATTTTTTATAATCATACATAATTTAAAATTTTATAATTTTTATGATCTTTTTTTAATTATTTTTCTGTAAATAAAGGAAACAAATCACGCTTTAATGGGATAAGTTGTTTTTTTTTTCCCCGTTTGGGGAAAAAAATAAAATAAGAGAGGAGCTGGGGGAGCGGAGCAAAGAGCAGTAACAATAATATTAATAATATCTTTTATCGCACGGTATTTGTGTGGCCTTGGCTAAACTCGATATCTTCTGTGTGTGCTGTCTACGCTCATCTTCCTCGTCAGGCCAATCTCGTCGATAATTAGTCCAAAACAGCATTTCAAAAGCTCGGGGTATTACTCTGGAATCACAAGCGACGCCACTTTTAATTATCTCTTTGCTCTGCCCATCGTTACCCCCCTTCTTCTGCTCCGAAATCAATGAACCTATCGTTGGTTCGTTTTCAATTCGAGGACTTCATGAGCTTTACCGGAGTGTATGCTCATGGGACGATTAATGCTTAGCTGTATTCAATGAGATTTCTCACTTTTTCATAAAAATGGCTTCTGCTCCTTCGATGTCAGGTATGTCTACTTTGGTTGCCAAAAAATGTGAGGAGTGTCATAGACGGTAACTCGAATTTTGGTTTTTGTATCTGGGTCTGGCGAAGGAAGAACTAGTGAACTTTGCCGGACCAGCTGTGTAGGTTTTCTAGGTCGAACCCATGTTGTTTTCAAGATTCCCTTTTCCTTTATTTGCTGACATGCAATCAATTGGAGCATCTCTAATCTCTAATTCCTCTAATAACTTTAGGAATGTTCTTTCTTGTTCATTTATATTCATTTAAAGTGAACTATCTGGAAGTTTAATTTCGAGTGAATTTGTATTTCCCCGATATTATAGTTTCGTTAGAATGCGTGAATGCGTGCAAGTTCTTGCGAGGCGAGGGAAGCGGAAGATACGACTGTAGTGTTCTTTCATGCGCGTCGAAAGCTCCCAGGGTCCTTACGGGATATCTTGCGAGCACGGCGCACCCTCCGCAGTCATCCTTGTCATGTGGGCGAAATGGAAGAAGGAACCGGTATAATTTTGTAAGTTTTTTAAGTTTCTCCTGGAGCGTTGGCTTTTGGAATTGCTAGTACTTTATACAGGCGAGTGGATGCGTTTAAATTCTTTATCTTCACGGCGTACTGTGATTATCTGCCCAAAATGGAAGAGAATCTTTCTTCTTCAACAATGGATGCATTCAAAATAATGAACTTTTTTTTAAAAAAAAAATGGATGTGCGCTTTAGCTATAAAATAGATAAATTGTTTTTCTACTGCAGATGTCACTCAAGCTTTCAACTTTCGACAATTAGAAAAATGAAAGCTGCTTAATAGGCTGTTGAGGCCAACTTTTAGAAGCCTCCTCCATCTAGATTAAAGGTCAAATTTTTTAGTTACATGTAAAGCTGATCTCTTTACACTTTCAAAGATTTTGTAAAACCCCTTGTTAATACCTATTGGCAGGCGCCACTTTGAACTCTTTTTCTTTTCTTTCTTTTTCCCTTTTTCTTGGCTGGAATGTTTATAGTGTGTGGAGATGGAAGTTGTTACCTATTCTTCATATCAGCTAGAATTGCCACGTATTGATTTTCTCATCTCACTTGTGCTCAATTTAGATATTTTCATCATTGCTATTTGGGATACTTATCCGTCTTTTGTTGACAGAGATGCAGACCCTTTAGTATAGTATATTCATATTCAGATGAAGCACTTGACATCATTCTTCCTGGGGGATTCTCTAGATCAATCTCGTCTCAAGTTGCCACTAAATGTTGGCGGTTCTATTGCCTGTCATCTTCCTCTGTGGAAACTACCAGCGAGGTTTCTCCTGAAGGGTTGTGGGAGGTATATTCCTGGCTTTTACTGAACCTGGCATGTCTAGTGCTAATTATAATTCTGGAAGTGGGGACATCCTCTTTGTTGGTGTTTGAGTCATACTGTCTATCATCTGCTTGCCACAGGATCTTAAACCTGTGATCTCATACCTTGCACCGAAAGAACTTGAGTTGGTCCATAATGCCCTTATGGTAAGCTGTCTGTATGAAGCTGAAATCTTAACATGCCTTTCTTGTATATCCATTTGTTCAATGTGGTAGAACTTACTTTTCTTTTCTTGGGTGTCACAGTTGGCATTTGAAGCTCATAATGGTCAGAAGAGACGCAGTGGTGAGCCCTTCATCATTCATCCAGTTGAGGTTGCACGGATCCTTGGAAAACTTGTGAGTTTTGCAGACTTTAAATAATGTTCCCTGATCTGGATATTATTTTTCTTGCAAGCTAAAATTTAAAATGGAGCTAACTGTTTGTTTAGGAACTTGACTGGGAGTCTGTGGCTGCTGGATTACTGCATGACACAGTTGAGGATACAAATGTTGTTACTTTTGAAAGAATTGAGGAGGAGTTTGGTGCTACTGTGTGCCGCATTGTTGAAGGAGAGACGAAGGTAATTGTCACACTTGGTTGTAATATACAAATAAGTAGATATAATTCTTGATAACATGGGTGTCGCATATATCAAATGTCCAAAAAATGCATTTGGATATGTGTGCAATTTTTTTGGCCGCAGTTGCATGTCAATCTCATCATTTTCTTCATCTTTACTAGGTGTCAAAGCTGGGAAAGTTGAAGTATAAAAATGAGAATGATTCTGTTCAAGATGTGAAAGCAGAGGATCTGCGCCAAATGTTTCTAGCCATGACAGAAGAGGTAACCTGCTGAACATGTTAGATGTTTGTCAATTCCCAATATATTCTTTGTTGAAATCTGTCTGTAAGCCTTTTTTTTTTTTTTTTTTGCAGGTCCGTGTTATTATTGTCAAATTAGCAGACAGATTACATAACATGCGCACTCTATCACATATGCCTCCACACAAGCAGGTCTGTGCTGTTGATATAGATAATTAACTGGTGATTCTTTTCTTTTCTTTTTTTTTGCCATCCTTTTGTTTGAGTGCTGAGACCCCTTGCCACTTTTGTCCATCAAGAAAAGTTAAGAATTTAATATATGACGAAAATCTATTGTCTTTATCATTGAAACTGAGATCCATAAATTTGGGCGGCCGACTTTCCAAAATGTTCATTGCTTTTAAATCTCAATCAAAACAGAATTTGATTCTTGAAGAAGATTCTGATCCTGTTAAAACTTGATCAAGAAAAGTTGCAATTACAGATGTTTGCGTGTGTCAGAGAGTGATGTGATTTTGAAATTATGGTTTGAGAGAGTATAGCTCCTTGTCCTCTTATAATGCTTCCTCTCTAAAGCCAAAAAAAAAAAAAGAACAAGAAGAAAAAAAGAAAGGCGGATTTTTTCTAACACCAGTTTACATGTGCAGACTAGCATCGCAATGGAGACATTACAGGTATTTGCCCCTTTGGCAAAGTTGCTTGGCATGTATCAAATCAAGGTATATTTTAATTCTGCATTCTCTGGCAACTACTAATATTTTTTCCCATAAACGTTCTAAGCCTCTATCTAGAGTAGACTTTATGGTAGAAACTAATTATGAAGCTTATGCAGTATTACTTAATAAATTATGAAGAATCTTTTCTATATCTGAGCTTTTTCTAATGATGCAGTCAGAACTAGAAAATCTATCATTCATGTACACAAATGCTGAAGATTATGCTAAGGTCAAGAGAAGAGCTGCAGAGCTCTATAAAGAACATGAGAAAGAACTTTTGGAGGTAAAACTGTTTGTCCTATCTGGAAAATTTTGTTCAGACAGAACAGTAGGAAGGTTATCCTTGCATTGTGCATTCTATTTCTACATGTTAGAGATGCCAAATCCAAAATATCAGGATTGAATACTTTCTAGATGACTGCATATCAGTGGAAGTTTACTAATTGGTGTTTTTTCTTCCAAATAGGCAAAGAAAATATTGGTGGAGAAAATCCAAGACGATCAGTTCTTAGACCTTTTGACTGTGAAAACTGAAGTTCATGCCGTGTGTAAGGAGCCTTACAGGTTAAGCCACAAAGCTTTAAGCTTCCATTTTATATGTCCACATGTTTATGTTTGATGCTTGCATGTATCATGTTCGTTTAAATGTTTTTAAGCATTAGATTATCAAATTACTCTCTAGAATTTGCTGATGGACTATATATATATATAGCTCTTCTTGAGAATCAGCTACATGCTTCTCTTTTTGTAACATAATTATTTTCGTAAATCATTACTGTTGGGGTGCTGAAATAAAACAAAAATCTTACCATATTGAGACTCTTCAGATAATTGACATAGATTTTCTTCAACTTTTGTCACACATGACGTGACCGGTAAATGTTATTCTCTTGAAACTGTTTGTGAAAAGGGATTTTATTTTAAAGTATCTTCCTTCTATTGTGGTAAACTTATTGAGTTACATCAGTTGTTCTTTAAGAAGTTTTCTGGTTCATATGCAGTATCTATAAGGCTGTTCTCAAATCAAACGGATCGATCAACAAGATTAACCAAATTGCACAGGTTATTCTTAACTATTTATTGGCCTTGAACTAAGCCTCAATGTGCTGTAAGTAAATTTGCAGAAAACCTTAAAATCTGTTTGTTGAAACACATCCAGCTTCGTGTAATCATAAAACCAAAGGCATGTGTTGGAGTGGGGCCATTGTGCAGTCCACAACAGGTAATTTATTGCCCGTTCTCAAGAGATTTGCTTTCTACATTTGCTCCACCTTGCACTTGGTATAATAGAAGACCTTCTGTTGTCTTGCTTTATGCAGATTTGCTACCATGTTTTGGGGTTAGTCCATGGAATTTGGACACCTATTCCTAGATCTGTGCGTATGCTTCTGCTCCTATGTGAGAGTGCTTAGTTTAAAAGAAACAAAATTGTTCAAGGCATAGTGAATTTTTTGTCCGTTCTGTTATAGGTGAAAGATTACATTGCAACTCCCAAACCTAATGGCTACCAGAGTCTCCATACCACTGTGATTCCATTTTTGTATCAGAGAATGTTTGGACTAGAAGTGCAGGTAATGATTCTTATTTTCATTCTTTTTTATAAATGGAGCTTAAGCTTATCCAAGTGATTCGTTTACATAATTTTCATGAGTTCCTTGGCTTCACTCAATCTATTTGCCTTCATCAAAAAATGGAAAACAAAGTATGAATGCTTACGTCATTTGCATTGTACTCTAGCAAATTCTATTTATCGTTGGCAGATTAGAACGGAGGAGATGCATTTGATAGCTGAGAGGGGGATTGCTGCTCATTACAGTGGGAGGGAATCTGTTAGTGGTCTGGTTGGAAGTGCAATGCCTACTAGTAAAAGCTCAAGAGGAAAGACTGTCTGCCTTAACAATGCAAACATTGCTCTCAGAGTATGCCATTATGATGAAAATCATCCTTTTAGAGAATTCTTAGCACATTTTTCACTAAATTTTGATCTTGCTTGTGATTTCATGGATGGAGTGTCCACTTTAATGCAGATTGGCTGGCTCAATGCTATTAGAGAATGGCAAGAAGAGTTTGTAGGCAACATGACTTCTAGGGAATTTGTAGACACTATTACCAGAGATCTGTTGGGTAGTCGTGTTTTCGTTTTTACACCCAAAGGAGAGGTGAGGGAGGATTACTTTGTATATTATATTTAGATCGCTATTTCCCCTTCCTTCCATTCTCTGAAAAAAGATAATCAACAAGATCATGGCAGAATATTGGTCGTAGTTTCTTGACACTTATTTTGTAACATAAACAGATTAAGAATCTTCCGAGTGGTGCCTCTGTCATTGACTATGCTTATATGATACATACTGAAATTGGCAACAAGATGGTGGCTGCAAAGGTATTGCTTGAAAACAAGTTCAGTTATGAAATGACAACAAAAAAAAAGCTAATGACTTCTAGTTTGGTATCGATGCAGGTCAATGGTAATCTTGTTTCTCCAACGCACATACTTGCAAATGCAGAAGTAGTGGAGATAATCACATATGATGTTAGTATTCTTCTACTGATCCTATGATATTGTTTTACTGTTTGATTATTATGATATAAATGAACAGTGATTATTTTCTTAAATATGTGAAGATAAAAATTTACTTCGCAATGATGGTTGGTGTGAAGATCGTCCAATCAGCTTATTTAATTGTTAAAATCAAACGATGATTTTTTGCCTTTTTTAAAACTCAGGAAATTCCTTTCTGCATTCGCATATGCACAAATTATCAGTGTAAATTTTTATCCCCCCCCCCCCCGGGGGTTGAATGAGTTTAAGGAAAGAAAGAAAGAAACAGCACTACCGTTACACCATACTCATCTTTTACAAATTCATTGAATTCTGGAACTTGGCTATTACCAGGCGCTTTCCAGTAAATCAGCTTTTCAGAGGCACAAGCAATGGTTGCGACATGCTAAAACACGTAGTGCAAGACACAAAATAATGAAGGTAGGCATTTATATAATGAATCATGAATGTGGAGCTTGAACTACCTGCCCTGGAAAAAGATGCGCTCTAAGCATCTGGCAATGATCATATTGTATCTTGTAGTTTCTAAGGGAACAGGCTGCACTTTCTGCTGTTGATATCACTACAGAAGCAGTCAGTGACTTTGTAGCTGATTCTGAAGGAGATAGCGAATCTGAAGATCCATTAGATTGCTTTAATAGTTTCAAATCTTTGCCGGGGAAGATGTTTTTGAATGGTGTGGAAACATCATCCTCTGAAGATGTATTCCCAAGCAGTAATGGCAGCGTTTGGACCCCTAAGGTAAATGGAAAGCATAACAAACATGTTGGTTTGAAGGGCAACGGAGAGTTGCTCCTGCATGGAAACCATGTTGCCCAGATGGTTCAGTCTAACATTCCAAGATATAAGGAAGTTCTGCCAGGTTTAGAAAGTTGGCAGGCCCAGAAAATTGCCGCTTGGCACAATATAGAAGGGCATTCCATTCAATGGTTTTGTGTAGTATGCATAGACCGAAGAGGTAAGCTTTTCTTTGTTTTTAATACATCAATTCAATTCCACATCTTTTGCCAGCATGCATCGTATCCATACGTGTGATATGGATGTCTCGACATTGTAGCACTCCCATTGAATGCTTTAGGGTATTGTGATGTCATGGTTATGAAATGAGTCCCAGAAAAAATATATATCTTTAGCTTGTCTCGTTCCAATTTTGTGAGACTCCCGCAAGTCAGCTTTGGTTGATGACTTGTCTCACCTGACACAGGACGTACAGCCTAATTTCACTATTTTCATTGTAACTTGGGAAACTGATTTCAGGCATCATGGCTGAGGTCACTACAACATTGGCTGCTGCGAGCATATCCATATGTTCTTGTGTGGTGAGTGGTAAAACTTAGTGTCCAAGCAAAGAGTCAAATTTCCTTGTATATTTGTCTTTGACTTGTATGCTTGAGGTACTATTTTTGAATATGCTATTTATTAAACTCAACTCATAAAATGACCAGGCGGAGATTGATGACGGAAGGGGATTGGCTGTCATGTTATTTCAGATTGAAGGGAAGTTGGAGAGTTTGGTACTGTATTGTGTCTCAGGACTTTGTTATTCCGCTCAGTGCTTAATCTTGTGTTTGTTTCGTCGTGTTTCTGGTCAACTCATACCATGCTACAACGTGTCGCAGGTTAGTGCTTGCCAAAGAGTGGATCTGATAGTGGGTGTTTTGGGATGGTCTACCGGTTGCAGCTGGCCAAGCTTGATGGAAAATTACAAGTTCGCCAACGTTTGTTGATTGCAGTGGCCAAGGTCTTCTGCAGTTGCATTGCCCAACCATTGCATAGGTGGGAACAAAGTTTTGTCCGCAGTGTCCTTTCCATAGTAGTTTCATTCTCATATTTGTTCCAACTCTAGTTAAATAAACCAGCAGAAGCCAGTTGAGCCAATACTCAAAATTCAAGGTATTGTATATAGAAAAGAGTGGTAGGGAGGTTAAAGTCGTGAACGATTATCCGCTGTAAAAGGTCGTTGTGCATAAACGAATCTTCAATATAACAGTTACATTTTCTATTATGAAAAGGTTGTGCTGACCTCTTCCTTAAAACGATCTTCCTCGTGCTTGATGGTTTGGATGGACTCTTCAAGAATTTGACAATAATTGGTTCCTCATCATGCGGCGGGAGTGGTGTGGTTCTCTGAAATTACACCCATTTTTTCAGCATATTGTGGAGAGTTTGTGATAAATGACACTATGATAAATAACACATTTTTCAGCTCATTATAGACCTTGCTCTCTCAACATTGCAAGAATCATGCTGTTCAACATCAGAGTTTTGATGAGTTAATCAACAGTGAATCTCAAAGAAAAGTGCAACCTCCATTTCCATTTTATATTGCTGATATCTCGAAAATAATTTTGATTTTCACCACTATAGCTGATGCTTGATAGTGACATAATTTACAACACGGCACTTGAAAGTGCTAATTTATAGTAAGCCTCTAAACAGAAAACGGATGATCCTCATCAAACTTGCGATCACAGAATGCATGTGGTCCAGGTCCTGTGAATACAAGGGGTGGTAGCTACCTAACCGTCCAACCAAACTGCTCTAACATCAGGTCCATGGTAATCACGGGGATATTACAGAACTGACCCCATCAAAGATCCTGATACGCGAATGCGATGGGGGAGCAGGACCAGAAGTAATATGGCAAACAGCAGCATAAAGATGACCCAGGCTTTGAATTTCGATAGAGACAGATGGTAATTCAGCGGCACAAACAAATTTCGTTTCTCAGACGAATTTGCTTCTGGTGATGCCATGACCCTGTCACTCCCAGCGTACCCAGAAATTTCAGAAATATTGGCGCCACTGGGACTCGAGATGTTTGATTTGGCGGTTCTAACAGCCTCGCTTTGGTCATTGACCACCTTTCCCTTGACTTGCTGGGGTTCCTCCTCTATCAGCTCCGCGGGCCAAATTGCTGCCTCACTGGAATCTAGGGAAGTCCTTCCAGTTGCCTCTGAGCTATTTTCACTTGTCTCAAAGGCGGCATCATCGTCTTCCTCGACAATATCATCTTCTGTTTCAGTCGTTGCACTGTCGTTGTCGCGCTGCCCCTCATTAATCTCTACGGGTTTTAGGGGCTCTCGGGGTTCACTCTGATCCACCTCCTTGACACAGGGGCGGTCCGCTGAAGACTCCAGACCATCTGAGCTATTTTCACTTGTCCCAAGCGTGACATCGTCGTCTCTCTCGACGATATCATCTTCGTTTTCAGTCGTTGCACTGTCGTTGTCGCGCTGCCCCTCATTAATCTCTACGCATTTTAGGGGCTCTTGGGGTTCACTCTGATCCACCTCCTTGACACAGGGGCTGTCCGCTGAAGACTCCAGACCCTCTGAGCTATTTTTACTTGTCCCAAAGGCGACATCGTCGTCTTCCTCGACAATATCATCTTCTGTTTCAGTCGTTGCACTGTCGTTGTCGTGTTTCTCCTCGTTAATCTCTACGGATTTTAAGGGCTCTTGGGTTTCACTCTGATCCACCTCCTCGAAAGAGGGGCTGTCAGCCGAAGACTCCAGTCCCTCTTCCCCAACGCCGCTATCGTTGAACGACGCCGTACTTTCTGGGGGATAATCATCCGATAGCACGATCTCCTGATGCAGACTCGGGGCGCTCTCCTCTTCGATGTAGGTTTTAACCTGCAGATCAGGCTTGTCCTCCTGAACCAAAATTCGGCGAATTCTTCAACGTTATTTATAAAGCCACAGACCAGGACCGCATATAATTTCACCGGAAAAAAAAAAAACGATGACGGAGAAGAAATGTATTACCAGAATCAAAGTTTGGCCGGGGAGTGACTCACAGGAAAGAACTTGGTCCTTTCTCGTATTTGATGTTTCATAGCTGGTGGAGCAGCAGAAATGAATTGATGAACCAATAGAACAACACAAAAGACAAACAGACTCCCGTCTCACGACGGATGCTGGCATGCAAAAGAGACAAGAATCCTAAAGGACGATGGGATTAGGGCATACCATGCAATGTCATGATTGGCGGGAGAATCATGAAGAGAGGGGGTGCCTCGGGAAGTGTGGTCAGATTGTTGGGGTTTGGGGGGAGAAGTCCTGGCCTTATTTCGCTTGGTGACAAAAGAAGCGAGGGCTATCAGACCGGTAACGGCCAGGGCTCCGCCGAAGACAAGAAGGCCCGGAACAGCAGCACCGCCTCTGCCAGCGCTTAAGGTCTTGCGGCGCTGCTTATTGTCGGGGATCCCTTGAGTTTGGCGCGCCTCCATCTCTTGCTCCTATTGTTGGGTGTTGACGATTCGCCTGCGCTCTGGTGGGTGCTACTCACTCCTAGATTGTTGTGCGGCAATATAAGACGGGTAAACTGGACCGATGGCTGTTGACTTTTTAATTTTTAATTGGCAATGGCGATGTAATGAAGGGAGAGAGAAGTAAAAACCGGGCGGGTGGGATTCGTTGCTTGGCGCGCCTCTACCTTCCCCATCTTGCGAGAGGGACACGTGTTTGGAAATCGCGTCTCCCATCTGCCATACAACCCATGCATTTGCTGCCTAATGCTTGCCTGCTTTACCTTATTTATGACTTGCCCCTCCTCACCATTGGCTGGCTAATTGATGAATCAATCATAATTTGACGCGCATTGCTTTCTCCCATTATTTCACATCACAATCCATTGCTCCATTCACTCTATATTTTATGTCCCCTCCTCCCAACTATGAAAGCCTTCGGCACCGAAAGCCTCCAGAAACTGTTAAATACACACTCGACTCAAGTCAGGACCTTGGCACCATCCAATCCAAAATCCAAAAAATAAAAAATAAAAATTGTGCACTGTGCTTTGACGGATCTGCCTTGCCGGTGCCTCGCTTTACCTGTTCTCCTTGCTGTGAAGTCATCCACCCGCAACCAACGATTCCCTGCTTCTCCTGTCTAATCCGCTCTTCATGTTCTTGTCGTGAATGACCAACCAACACGCTACCCATCCAATATTAGTTAAGTGCTCATGTACCTGTATTTTCCACTTTCTTTAATATAAACTTAGTGCATAGTCAACATTCAGACTCAGACTGGGACTAGGACTGGGACGACCTTTCATTGTTCAATTAGTCTTCCCATTTTAAATTCTACAGTCCAAATACTGTGTGTATTCCAAGTTTTAGGTCATCCCACTTTCGAATGACGCTCGGAGAATTTATTTTAATTTAATTAGCACTCCGTTTCAAAGTAACCATCGTTCTAGAATTCTGATTTATTTGCCTTAGAATTTTAATAAATAAGATCTTACATTAACACAGGACAAAAACGAAATAATAGACCGTCACTTTAGTGCTTAAATAGGGGGCAAACTAGACAAAGAGGAAAGGATGGAAAGGAAGGAAAGCACCAGTGATGGCATTGTTGAGTGCAGCGAGAGACAGAGGAGGCTTCCAGGTAAGCCTTCCAAGTTGCAAGGCAATATGGAGCTTGTTTGGCAGGTTTTTTATAAGCTGAAAAGTAGTTTATTTTTACTATTAGCCCGATTGGAAATTGCTTAGTGTTTAGTTTGACTTAAATCTAAAATGAGCTTATCTAATTTAAGCTAGCAAACATATGTTGTGGGATAAGCTAATGGATCTGGCTTATTGGATTAGTGATTGGAGCTTATTTACTGTTGTGATGTGTCAGGCTTTTTTTTTTTTTTGAGTTCGGCCATCCCTAATTTAAAGTCACTGGTGTTGGAGAAACCGAAATGGAACAAAACAAAGCACATGAAGGGCTTCTGTGTTCAACCAAAACACCAGGTTGCATTTTTATTAGCATTATTTTTTAATAAAAAAATGTGTAGTTGCAAAAACATGCACAACGTGAAAATAAAATATCACAACGAAAATGACTGATAATTTATGATAAAATTAATAGAATGTGATTGTCCCATTTATTCATGTAAAATTTTCATTTACTTTTTGAATAAAATTAACGCTTTATAAAAAAAATAAATATAAAAAATAAATAAATTATAAATATTAAAAAATTAATTAAATTACATATTTGTTAATAAATATATCTTTCTCTCTTTCAAGTTATATATAGCTAATAGAGATATTTTAAGAAAAAAAATTATAAATTTAAGAGACAAGATGGATTAAGATATTATATTTAGAATCAAAATAAGTTTTTTCTTATAAATATTTTTTATGATTTCTCTAAAGTTTTAAAATTTAATTCACTTATTAAATTTGACTTCCTCATATTAAATTATTTTAATTTTATTATATTATGTGAAATTATTTTTTTTAAACATGTTTCATTATTTATTAAAACTCACACTTATTTTGATCATTTTACAACTAAACTTACTTTTACTTAACCATAATTCAAACAATTTTTTACTAATTTTACTTTTCAAACTAATTTTTTTGAACTCTAATCCAAATATAATTCAGCTTATCCAATTTAGCTTTTACCCAACTTTACTTTTTCATAAGCTAAATTGATAATAAGCTACTTTTCTAATTGCTAATCCAAACAGACACATGACCCATTGTGGTGGGTTGCCCCGCTTTAGAAGCTCAACGGCGCCGTTTTCGAATCTGTACTTGTTAGAAATGCAAGAAGTTCAGAATGATGTAGGGGCCCGGGCCTCCGAGGGGGTGAGTTCGGAGCCTGCTTTCCCAAAAAGCCTTCAACGACCAACCCCGGAATCAAATGGGCTTTCTCTCACCAATCCAGCCCAATTTGAGTAACTGTCCAGTATCCACACGGGGGTGCCCCAGTTGGATCTTGTCTTCCATAGGAGGATCTGGGTCGGTTGCCTCTCTGAGTTCAAATTTTAATGAAAATAAAACAATTCCTGTATAATACTAAGAGGTAATCGCAAAAAAAAAAACCCTAAAATTTAAAAAATACAGATAAGGATACCTAACAACTTCACTATGAGTTTTGCTGTATTAACAACTTTGTAACATATTATTATTATCAAAAGCCATAATAAAATTGTCACAAGCCTCTATCTGCGTTTTTTAAATTCCAGAATCTTTAATTGCGATTTTCCCTGATACTAATACCAACAATATCAAAGCAAAATAAATATTAAATTCAAGCGTGATTTCTTTTGTGCTTCTTCTGGGAATAATAGATCTTTTATGTTCCAGCAAAATGTGTTGTGATTTTATTAAAAAATAAGAAAATATTTTTCTTGGCAGAATGATTATATTAATTAATATTGTAATAAATGTATTTGTGCTGGTTCTGGATCCTTGCGAGGTCGGGGCTGGAGCTCCGCGCGATATTATATTCTCGCAACAGGGTCTCACTCCTCAACAAAATTTGATGGGGTGCGGGTCAATCACAGATTATGCCCACAAGATGGGCATACCATGTGCTGGGTGTTTTGTTCAAACTTCAAACACAGATTCTCATGCTCCTCACCTAGCGTCTATCTCATTCCTTACTCCCCCTGTTTCTTACGTAATTCCTCTTCCTATTCTCACTTCCGCACTGTTAAAAATACCAACTTGTCTGCACAGCTCTGTGCAGGGGAAGGTGCTGGTTGACCCCAGGCAATTGTTCTTTCTGCCTTCTTTTTTTTATTTTTTATTACTCATTATAATTTTTAATATAAAAAATAATTGAATAATTCGATTATATTAAAAAATAAATTAAATCAGTTATTTATAATAAATAAGTATTATTTTTTTAAATATTCTTACTAATTAAATATATTGGTTAGAACTATCTTATAAAAAATAGATAAACATAATAAATAAAATAAATTATAATTTTAGATTTAAAATTAAAATAAAAATTAAATAAATTTTATATTAAAAATAAGACGTCGCATAACTTTTCAACTATTTATTCCAAAAATACAAAGCCGCTTCTCCCTACTTTTTCTTTTAAATTTCACCGACAACTATTAATGGTTTGCATTTATCTTTTCAACGAGCCCATCCTTGCTCCTTTTCAAAAGCCCGCACCCACTTATCGAAAATCTAAAGATTATAATCAAGTGTGATTTATTCAAAAAAACTGTCTAATACTCTTTACTCTTCTAGTCTTATTTATAATATTAAAAATATATTTTTTATCTTATTTATAAGATGTTGAGAGAAATTTTTATATGAATATATAATTTTATCTTTTATTTATTATTTTGTTGATTTGTTTGTATAAAAGATAACTTTATATTAAATAACAAAAGTTAAAAAAGCAGTAAATAAGTTAGAAAATACTGTAAACAGGAGCGACGCGCCACCTGCTCTCATTTTCAACTACAAAAAGGCCGCTTCCTCTCACTTTCCTGCTCTACGTGTTCATCTCACAGTTCGATAACGCGAGAAGATCTCTTTGGTTAACGCATTCGCTTCGTCGCAACTTTCAAATCCATTGTGCATCTCTCTGAAGCTGGATCAACCATGTGTGGGGGTGCTATCATCGCTGACTTCATTCCTCGCCGCCACGGTCGCCGCCTTACCCCCTCCGACATCTGGCCTGACACACTTGGAAACCACAATGATTTCCCCTCGGAGTTTTCTCCCTCCGTTCCCCTCCAAAAGCCTCAACTTTCCACAGGTCATTCTTCCGTCATATACTAATACTAGCTCGTTTCTTTTTAACGCCTTCTGACCTCGTATTTGAGATTTTCTTGCAACAGTAACTGAGCAGGTTGAGAAGCCCCCCAAGAGGCAGAGGAAGAACCTTTACAGAGGGATTCCAGCGCCCGTGGGGTAAATGGGCTGCGGAGATTCGCGATCCGAGGAAAGGGGTTCGTGTTTGGCTCGGCACTTACAACACTGCGGAAGAGGCTGCCAGGGCCTACGACAGAGAAGCTCGTAAAATCCGCGGCAAGAAAGCCAAGGTCAATTTCCCCAACGAAGACGAGGATCGCTCCATGCAAGCTCGTCGTGACCCACCGCCTCCGCCTCAACGCTCCGACGCTGGCCCGAGAAGTCTGAATCTGGAGTTCGGTTATGATCTGAACCAAGCCGGGGCAACTTATTCTTCCCGTGGGGGAGTGTCAGGTTCGCAGGGTAGTTACTCGACGATGGAATTGTTGGAATCGAATCAGAGAAAGGGGATCGAGGGAGGGAAGACGAAGAAGGCGGGCACAGAAAGGGAGGAAGAAGAGAACCAAGCAGGGGAGCTATCGGAGGAGCTGATGGCGTATGAGAATTACATAAAGTTTTATCAGATTCCATGCTACGATGGCCAGTCGGCGACACGAAATGCCGTTCAAGAGAACGTGTTGGGTGACTTCTGGAGCTTCGACGATGAAGGCATCGCCGCATGCATGACGTCGTCCGCCATGTGAAGAAGGCGTTTTCCGGTTTGTTTCATGGGATTGGGAATGTAAACTGGGCAGAAGTGGTGGTTTTAGTTTTAAGTTTCTTTGTGATGTGGGGCTGTAGATTTAGGATGACGTTGTTGGATTCTGAATTTGGTTTGTATAAATATTATTTCGAGCTTACGATCCCGATTCCTGTTTATTGAGAAGTCATCTCACATCTGGAAGTTAACATATCATATCTCTCTTCATCGTCCTGTCGCCCACCGCCTGGGTGGGGGATGATCAAAGTTTAAAACAAACATCCTAAACATGAGCCGTGAGTAAATGGAGCCGTGTGATGGAGGTTAAACAAGAATAGCTCGAAAGATTTGCCAAAGTAGTGATGAATTTCCCGTGAAACAGATTTTTGTTTTTACATAAAAGGATGAAGGAGACGGCAGAAAAAGAAAAGAAGGTGGTAAAATGTGAGGAAAATGCAAGGATGAAAATAATAGAACGGAGAGAAGGGGATGAGATGGAAAGGGGACCAATTCCGGTACCAGCGCCATGATGTTTGTTGGTAAAATCTAAATCATCCAATACCGGTTGAATGATTTAGATTTAAAACTTGTTAGTTAATAATTTTTAAAAAACTTACAAAAATACTTTTAAAAATTAAAATATTAAATATTAAATCCTATTAATTCATATTAAATTTAAATGACTAAAATTTGAATAACATCCTCCTAAAACTGGTTTCCAGGGAGGCTGGTGGCGGCAGACAGCGGGCGCAGTGGGTTTTGGAATGGCTTTGGGGAGTGTGGAGTGTTGGTGCTGGCGTGCTGCTTTCAGGAATCCACCCAGGTGGTTAGGTACCTCTACCGTCATTCATTCCATGGGCGCCTCCTGAATCCACTCATGATTTCCTTCCACCATTTTGTTCCATTTTTCCTCCAAACCCAAAATTTCCAAAACAAAACAAAATAAAATATTTTGCTATTTTTCGAAGAAAAAATTAATTTTCAAATTCATACAATTTTACCTTTTTTTTCTTTAATCAAGTCTCCAAATTTTTTTATTAAGTCATTGCAATTTCATTCTGTTTTTAATAAAAAACTTATAATTCTTCTCATTAAATTTTTATAATTTTACATAATTTTTTAGTTTCATGCTATTGATAAAAGGTTAAAAATTATTTTAAAAAAACAGCTTTTCTCTTGTACTGTGGGCTTACTGGATCACTACTGTTGTGACAGCAGGCCCAATAACTGACTTCCATTCTGCATTGAGGTTCATCATAGGGTAACGACCACAATTGAGCCCAATTCACCCCAAACTGGGGCAAACCCTAGGGTTTTCGATAAGCCGATATATGGTCATCGTCTCTCCAGAACCATAGCATTTGCAGCAGATATCCGGCTGGACGAAAATGGTGTCGCTCAAGTTGCAGAAGCGGCTTGCTGCTAGCGTGTTGAAGTGCGGCAGAGGCAAGGTTTGGCTGGATCCCAATGAAGTCAATGAAATCTCCATGGCCAATTCTCGTATGCTCTTACTCTTCGTCATATGGCTAATCTTTTCACCATCATCTCTGTTCGTCGATGTTTTTTCTATGTCTTATTTCTTAATATGCTTAGCATCGCTTGGTTGCTGAGAGTTTTCGGAAGAGGCGAGGCCGAACTCCCTGCGATCGGAACTTCACTGTAGCTTCTGCTGGGGTTGGCTATTATTAGTTTTTCTTTTCTTTTGCTGGAGATTGGCAAGCAGTCGCATGGCATCGTCGGTTGATGGATGCAACTTGTCTCTGATAAAAATCAATGGAAAATCTTGCATCTGTTAACTTTCTTGATGATAGTTATCCTTATTGATCCTCTAAATACCATATTTTCATTTCTTTTTGTACTTGTATGGATAGGCTTCATGCTACCGTCGCCTTAGGATCACAACACCATCTCTTCGGAATGCTTTATTCTGAGAGGGGATATCAGAAATAAGCTCGTGCTTCTTTTAATATCCGTTTAGACGAGACATGATATGTGATTGTATTGTAAATATCAATGAGCGGAGGAGCTATGCATTCATATTCCGTTTACCCAGACATGTATTTAATATATGAATATTTGGTCTTCTATACTTATCTACTGAATGAATTTACATTCGCAGGCCAAAACATAAGGAAGTTGGTTAAGGATGGCTTCATTATCAGGAAGCCAACTAAAATTCACTCTCGATCTCGTGCTCGGCGTATGAAGGAAGCCAAGAGAAAAGGACGCCACTCTGGATATGGTATGTGTTTCTCAACTTGATTGGGTTTGACGTGAATTGATGTGAGATTGTTTGGAATCATATTTTGGGACGTTGTCACTGGTAGTTTGTCAGTTCAAATGGTTTGCTCGATATTTGGAGAACGTGAGTTATAGATACTTGATATCCATCAAGCATTTATGAGCGGACCATGATGAATACAATATCTGGTTTTGGTCATAGAATAACTATTTCAGTGCATTGCTCTTTGGCCTCAAAGGAGAGATGCAGTATCATTAATTGATATTGATAATATTCACCTAAATACTGTTAGGTAAGCGCAAGGGTACGAGGGAGGCAAGGCTTCCAACTAAAATCCTCTGGATGAGGAGGATGCGTGTGCTCAGACGCTTGCTTCGCAAGTACAGGGAATCCAAAAAGATTGACAAGCACATGTACCATGATATGTACATGAAGGTGAAGGGTAATGTGTTCAAGAACAAAAGAGTTCTGATGGAGAGCATACACAAATCTAAGGCTGAGAAGGCAAGAGAGAAAACGTTGTCTGACCAGTTTGAAGCCAAGCGTGCCAAGAACAAGGCAAGCAGGGAAAGAAAAATTGCCCGAAGAGAGGAGCGCTTGGCTCAGGTGAGTCTAGAATTTAATTACCTGTATGCCTGCAGAATTGGATTTTCATAGAACCGGGATTTTGAAGTTTGGTTTGCTCTTTGTAAATGTTCAGGGTCCCGTAGAAAAGGCACCAGTAGCGCCACCTGCTCCTGCTCCCCAGCCTGCCCAGTGAGTGTTGCACTGTTTTATCTATTTCAATTCTCTCAGATTTTCTTCAGTACCTTTATGTGTGCATATATATATGTGTGTGTGTGTGTATGTTGGCCTGGAAATTTCTAGCATCTAAATGAATACGCCTTGTATGCAGAGTATCAAAGAAATCCAAGAAGTAAGTCAAGAGTCACGTATTCGAAGGTTAGAAGGATTTTGAATTACCAAAGGCCCTGACGTCCTCAGTTACTGTGCTAAAAATTAGTTTTCTGGAGTCTCCTTTTGTTGCTGTAGAACCTTGAACAGTATTCTAAGTTAAAGCTTTATAATATTCCTTGTACCTTTGCTTAATCGTGTTTTTGGTATCAAGTCACACCTCGTTTCTGTCGTCTTTACTAATAATTGTGATCGGACGGGAGGCTTTTTCCCTTCTTTTTATCAAAGAAATCCAAGAAGTAAGTCAAGAGTCACGTATTCGAAGGTTAGAAGGATTTTGAATTACCAAAGGCCCTGACGTCCTCAGTTGCTGTGCTAAAAATTAGTTTTCTGGAGTCTCCTTTTGTTGCTGTAGAACCTTGAACAGTATTCTAAGTTAAAGCTTTTATAATATTCCTTGTACCCTTTGCTTAATCGTGTTTTTGGTATCAAGTCACACCTCGTTTCTGTCTTTACTTAATAATTGTGATCGGACGGGAGGCTTTTTCCCTTCTTTTTGGCCCCTTCCTTCAAATCAGGTCGTTCTAAGATGTTAAATGTGTTGACAACTGTGATCATGACTAAATGGTGCTTATTGTTCCAAGCAATCGAATTCTGGTGGACTTGAGGAACAAAATTTTCTCTTTTGAGATATCCGTTTTTTTAACCTGATTCTAGAAGCTATATCCTAACACAACTCGTTTAATACAACCTTGCCACAAATAAAATGACATGGTTTTTTGGTTGGCTCAGAAGAATAAACTAGGGCATGAGACTTGAAATTCGGTAGGCGCTCGTCATTGGATTAAGGTGTGTTGGGATCTTGATTCGAAGAAGTTATCATATTCAAACCTTCCTTGTATGTTACGATCATCATATGTTGAGAGAAGCCAACAGGTATGCTTTCAGCATGTCCATGCCTTGCTGGCGAAGTTATCCCCTCCTCCCATTTCCATCGTACAACCATTAAAAGCGTATTATTAAACACAAATTTTCAAGGAAATAACCAATGATTTTTTTTTCAAGTTATATCAGTGAATGATTCAAATTATTATGATTTATTGATCTGTAATAATGCCATATGCCAGGAATGCTGACTGATGTAGCATATATTTGGTATCTTGATTTAATCAGTAGTTGATAGCGATCTAAGCTTTCTTTTAAGTTTTGATCGTGTAGAATTCAAGCGAGTTAAATGCCCTAAAAGTCTCTGCCTTCGATTAGATACTATGAATATCATTTTCCTCGTATGAAATTTCATCCCAGCAAATCTACTAATTTAAGATAACCCGGCCAAGCTCGTGGGTCCCACAGTCCTAATCCCCTTGAGCACGTCTAAAGTCTCAATTCTCTTTTTCCATTTGTCCTTTTATTCATTTTGAGATCCCAAATTCCAAATCCCCAGCGCCCCAACGGGATTCTATGTTTATGATCTCCCACCCAATGTTGCTTTCAAGTCACTGCTCACGAATTATTTCCTCATTTATTTCTTACTGATAAAAGCCACCTATTTATTCTATTTGTTTTTCTTTTAATCGCCAACCATCTGTTCTTTTAGTTCGGTCTTACGAAACTTCAATGATACCTAACTGTTTTATATAAGTAAGTTTAAAAGTTTCAATTTTTATCAATATTTATAACGACACTTGTATCTTTCTGGTTAAAACGTGGGGCGAAAGTCTGAACTCGCATTTTCTACTATCGGGGAAAATTCTTTAGATGTTCATTCATTATTAATTGTCGTCAACTATTACCTTTTCAATGTATTCTGTATGAGATGATTGAGATTGATATTTTACCAAAACATTATCGGAAATATCGTTCTTCTTTTTCACGGAAGTTAATTCATCATTAATCGTCTCGAAAGATTTCCCTTTCTGCATCTTTTGTCCAGGATAGTTGACATTGATTTTTCACCAAATTAATATTTGAAGTATAATTAATCAGAATTATATTATAATAAATATTCAATCTAATCCAATAATAAATGAATGAGGAAATCGTGATTCTCGGTAAGGCACGGTGTGGGAACAAACCTCTGATTATTCATACAAAGGTTTTGAATGAATAAATAAAAAACAATGAGTGAAAGAAGGGTGAGATGGAATGGAAATGTTCTATTTTCGGCCGGTGATAACTTTCGGCCATTATACTTTCACCGGATATAATATGATTGATTTTTTTCCTAATTCAGAATTAAAATAATACTTTCACCTCTGATTATAATGATTAGACATTTCTCAGGGTTATCCTCACGCTTCAACTTTCAAACTGTCTCCCTGCCATTATTTTCTGACATGATATTACAGATTAGGGTTTGTGATAGTTGGACCCAACCCCTGTTTAACACAACCTTACGGCTGACTGACGGACATCCTTGTATTATTGAAAGTCAAGGAAGTGCAGAAATATTAATTTGACCTGAAAGTCACATCGACCCCGTTGTTTAAGAGTGTATGTGAAAACACTCCAGAAAAAGTTGAAATTTGGTGTCGGCAAAATGGGAGATTTAATTGAGGATTTCATCGCAGATCAGTGGATCTAACAGTAGTAGTAATTATGATGAATTATGATAATATTTTATAATTATAATTTATAATTTACGATGCCCTCGTCCTGTCCTGCCCTTGCGTGATGCGTGGAAGTTAAATATACGAGGAAATGAAACGCAGTGCTGGCTCTTCCTTTTTAGCTGTCGTTTTCTTTCATCGCAGATCAGTGGATTAACAGTAGTAATTAAAGTTGATTGAATTATAATATTTTATAATTTATAATTTATAATTTACGATGCCCTCGTCCTGTCCTTGCCCTTGCGTGATGCGTGGAAGTTAAATATACGAGGAAATGAAACGCAGTGCTGGCTCTTCCTTTTTAGCTGTCGTTTTCTCCTACCACCTCACCCTTGCTTTGTTTCCTTGTGGAGTGCTTGCTTGGCATTATATACGAAACTGCTCTGTTCACCTCCCTCTCTCCTCCTCACTTCGTCTTCACTTCTGCTCCTCCCACTGCTTCACTGGCTTCGGCTTTTGAAGCAACGGCAACTTCCTCATGAAGAGGCTAGTAAGTACGTTGTTTTATCTTGCGATGAATACCGGGAGCAAGAACTGTTCTTTTTCTTTCTGTTATTCTCGCCCGTTAAAACACGATGCTCTGTTCATCGGTTGTGTCAAGTTTGATGATTTCGAATTTTTTTCATCCTGTAGCTAGAAAAAGTTTCTCATTTGGATCATTCCGGCCCACTCTAATTCATCTTCCGTGTTTGTTTTTCCTTTTGGTGTGTACGGTGCCTTCCAAGTGTTTAATTTTGAAGAATTCTCTGAAAATGCTAATTTGAGGACATTATAGATCGGTGGTTATGTTAGGTGGGTTGTTTGATAGATCTGTCTTGTCTGTTAAAACTGATCAAAAGATCTTTTTTGTAGTTAACGTTGTATGGTTGATTGCTTTTGTCCATTAACAACATCGTCGAACTGTAATTCCCATATGTAATCATTATAGCGGTTCGCTAGTTTCAATTCCATTTTCCTCCTCCCAATTCTTGTCCCAAAGTTACTTTCGTTCAAACAATGTCTTGGTAATGAAGGGCAGAGGCATTATTATTTCAAACAGACGAAAGAACAGAATATTTGATTTGCTGCTGAGGAAGTTTTATCGTTGTTTTAAAAAACCCAATGCGTAATTATGCTTCGCATGTGCTGTTGAAATTAGTAATACATTGTTTATGAAGCTGGCGATGGACTTTAAGTATTCTGCTTCGTTACAGGTGGCTCTGCTTCTTCTGGCATTAAGCAGTGCTCTGGAGAGTAACGGGGATGATGTTAATGGTGGACCATGCGAGCACAGAGCACTGGATGCGAGGCCTCACAGTGTCTCAATTTCAGAGTTTGGGGCAGTAGGAGATGGGAAAACACTTAACACCGTTGCCTTCCAGAACGCAATATTCTATCTCAAGTCCTTTGCTGATAAGGGCGGCGCACAGTTATATGTCCCCTCAGGCACATGGCTCACCGGAAGCTTCAACCTTACCAGCCACCTCACTCTCTTCCTTGCCGGTGGTGCCACTATTGTTGGGTCCCAGGTTTTCATCTTCAATTTTAACCCTTTCCCAGAATGCAGAATTAATTGTGTGGATCCGGTGAGCAATTTCAATGATGGCATTTCAGGATATTGACCACTGGACTGTGGTGGATCCGCTGCCTTCTTATGGTGGAGGGACTGGGGCTGAGGGAAAGAGATATCGCAGCTTAATTTACGGACAGAACTTAAGTGATGTGGTTATTACAGGCAAGGTCCACTGCCCTTTCTTTAGTTCATTTACAGTACTGTTGCTTTGCTTAACTTGTCATGAGCAATGAATGTGTCAGGTGACAATGGAACTATCGATGGCCAGGGCGCTTTCTGGTGGGACATGTTCAATTCTCATTCCTTGAATTACAGCCGACCACATCTCGTGGAATTCATAGGTTCTGAAGACATCATAATCTCAAATTTAACCTTTTTAAATCCTCCAGCCTGGGACATCCATCCAGTGTATTGCAGGTACATGTCCTTCACTTTTCATGGCATGAAACTGTTCCGGTTTTAACATTCCCTTTCTGACACAATGCAGCAACGTTCGAATTCACAATATTACAGCTCGTGCACCACTTGATTCCCCATACACCAGTGGCATAGTTCCAGGTGTGTGTACATATATATATATGTTCACATTTCTGCCTCTTCTGTTAGGACTAGTTTCAAGTGGGCACAGTCATCATCGTAATAGTGGTTGTGATAGAAATAGCATGTGAAACTTGCAGATTCTTCAGACAAAGTTTGTGTTGAGAACAGCAATATTAGCAGTGGTCATGATGCGATTGTGCTGAAGAGTGGCTGGGATGAGTATGGAATCTCATACGGCAAAGCCACCTCGAGGGTCCACATCAGGAGTGTTAGGCTACAATCTTCATCAGGAGCTGGCCTGGCTTTTGGAAGCGAGATGTCTGGAGGCATATCCGCCATAATTGCGGAGCACTTGCAAGTATTCAATTCCTATGTTGGCATCAAAGTGAAGACAACGAAGGGCAGGGGTGGCTATGTCACAGACATTTTCATCTCAGACGCACATCTGGAAAATATATATATGGGACTCAGCATCGATGCCTACTGTGGTTCCCATCCGAATGAGGACTACGATCCAAGTGCACTTCCCGTTGTTGGTGGCATTACTTATAAGGACGTGGTTGGTGCTAATATTACTGTTGCTGGCAATTTCTCGGGATTAGTTGATTCGCCTTTCTCGTCAATCTGTCTTTCCAATGTCACTTTTTCAATCAGTTCCGAGTCGTCGTCCCCTTCTTGGTTTTGCTCTAATGTCAAAGGTTTCTCTCAAGAGGTACATCCTCAGCCCTGTCCTGATCTCCAGAGCTCCTCTTCTTCTTCTTGCTTTGCCTTCACATATCCATCGACCTACGTCTCGAGCTTATGAGGTGATCGCAATCACAGTGATTCGTTTCATTCAATCTGTACATGAGACCCAGATTTTATATTCCGCTTCTTCAACACAATTTTCCAATAAAAGCAAATTTTGATGTAAAGAGGTTCTTTCTCTTCAACGATTCAATCAAATTTCCATTTTCTTGGGGTTAATTCTGCCCAGAATGGTGCCCGATGGCCAACAATTATATTATATTCTTTGACAAACCTCATCACCTTAATGTATCACAAGCAATTAATGTAAAATCAAACACACACACACACAGGCAGACGCGCGCACACAGAGTCTGTACCATTTATTATGCATTAATGATAGGCCACAGGTTCAAAGTGAAACCGTGAATTCCCCACTTCAGACCTTGGATAATTTTAGATCGATGACAAACTTTTTAGAAAAACTAGGCATATTTTTTATAAGTGACTAGGATGATTAATTTTCTTAACACTATCGTGTTAACTGGTTTTGCAGTTGAAAGCTCAAGACTCAAACTAAAAGAGATCGTTGGACCCAAAAAAAAAAAAAAAACTAAGAGATTGAACTGTCACGTTTGATCATGCTGTCAAAGAGGCTAACGGCTACATTGACTGGCTCACCTATAAGCATCAGAAGACAATCGGAGAGTTATGATCTTTAATGATCCTCCTCCCTCAGTAGAAGGCTTTAAGTTGTTGACTTGGGGCTTGTTTGGATCAATGTTGTAAAACTCTTCTCACATACTTATCTAATATTTCATAAATCACATTTAAAAAGTTACTTATAAGCCATTTCAAACAAACCTTTAAATTAGTTTTGATTTTTGCAGGCTTTTCACTGTGACATTGTAATTAATTTTTTTAAAAAAAACTCAAAATAGCATCTAGAAAATGACCAATCTAATTAATTAGATTAGATGTTTTCGATAAAACTGATCAAGTTAAATTGACTTGTTTAATAAATTAGAAGTTTAGAGAAAGTCGCATCATAGATATAATTAACATATATTTACAAATTGTAACATATACTCTAGTTCTATTAATAAAATAATAGTGATTAAAATAGTTTTAAAATAATTAATATAGTGGCTTTTTAATCCGCATAAGTACGTAAATTTAATTGAATGAATAATATCTTAGTAATCATTAAGATATTTTAATAACATATACTTCGAAACTATATCATTGAGATATTTTAGCAATCAAATACTTATTGAATCACAAATAAAATATAGGATAATTTTTTAAGTGAAACACCCCGTTTTAAATTATTTAATTAAGTTGGGTAATGTGTGATGTAGATTGATTGGGGGGTGTTTGGCATTACATAAAAGTGCTTTTGAAAAGTACTTTTTCGTAAATCGAAATAAACTCCTCTACATATATTTTATATATCGTAAAATCACTTTTAAAATTATAGTTTGGTTTTCATCCAAACACCTCTTAAATGATTAAATTCAACTAGATATCAGTGTAAAAAAAAAATATCGAACCAGACCAGACGATTCAATCGGTAGACTAGCGAATTGGTCAGTGGTCTGGTTTGATTCATAAGCTAAATTGGGGACCGGTTCAAACCGGTGTGAACTGATAATGAACTGGTTTAAATAAATATATTAATATTTATTCTATTTTTTCTCATTTAGCTCATAATATCTCAGTTATTATAGATTTAAATGAATTTTGATGATGAGTTTGGTATCACCGTATCAATAAGTATTAATTTTAGTTATTGAAAAATTATAAAAATCAAAATTCTCAATATTGTTGTACTTTATTATTATTACAATCAAATTCTTATTGTATTTCCTTATATTTTGTTATTTTTAATTAAATTATACTCCTCCGGTCCTTAATACATGACCCAATTCTTGAGTTGGTTTTGATCCTAAATATAAAACCCATTTCTCATATTTATCAATTTTCTCTAAATTACCCCTATGGATACTCTCTCAACCATAATCAAGTAGAAGAGGGAGAGAGGTATTAAGAAAGATGATTATAGTGTTTTAAGAAAAATGTGTCACTTTTCTTATAATTAACTAACTTACCTAACTTTCTTAATCTAATCAAATTAGTTAAATGGGTCTTATATTAAGGACCGGAGGAGTATTATTTTAATATGATTGATTTGATCCCGAGTTAACCCCGATCTGACCTATTAACTCTTGAACCACTACCTCAATTGGTTTAATGTCCAGTCTAGTTTTTTGTTCCTCAGTATTTCAATCAGGCCAGTACAAAAAATCAAAGAAAGATTACTCATTCTAGCGTTTCTTGACCAAAAGGGCGCGCATCAAACCACCGCAAATGCATTTTTGTCCAGAAAAGACCATTGCAAATGCGTCGCTCATAAAAATTTAAAAAAAACAAAAAAACTCCTTGCAAATGCAACTGTCTGAAAACTTTACATCCCTGGTGGCTACAAAATAAATTAAAGAATGTCAACGTTCAAGCAACGGGCATCATTGCTGCATTATGTGTGTATAATACAAATTACAACAATTACAGACCAAAAGAAATTAAAAATTATATGGCAAAACCTCTCATTTTCCATCTAAAAAAATTTATATAACAAAAATCAGAAATCAGAAATCAGGAGAAAAAGGGAAAAAAAGATCACTCTTCTGTCTGATACAATATTCACTTTCTATTTCCAGTCTTCCGTTTCATGTCAACGGGAGCGGGATGCCTTCCAGTTCGATTCAAGACTCCATTTGGCTGTTTCCGGGAAGGCGAGGGAACTGGCGAACAATTCACATTCTTGCTGTAGGATAAAATAACACCCAAAAAAATATATTATAAAGCATAAAAGTAAAAATTACGAGTAAATTTAAGGTGTTGGCATGCTGCTAAAAGTGCGTGTTTACATTACCTCAACTCGGGGCTTTTTGGGAGCTTGGATACGGACTTCTTAGTCTTTGAGCCAATTCCATTGGCCACGCTGGTGAGCTTGGAATGATTATATTGCCAAAGTAAGTCAGGTTCCGAGGAGTCACTGGTTACAGCGTCAAGATCATCCATGTCATCTGAACCAGCAAGGTTGAACTGATTGCCTCCCATAAGCATATTAAAAGATCGTTCTGTGTATACTTTTGAAGAATCTTGGAGATATTTCTGATAAAACACCTCAGATAGCTGTCCATTGTCTGTCTCCCAACCCCCCAAGGGGCTCTCAAGTTTGCTTGCATCTTGCTTGTTTACCATCACCTTATCGACCCATTCTCCCTGTCCAATTTCTTTATCATCTTCCCCGTAGTTTTGAGCAGGACTCTTCACTGGGGGCCAAGGTGGTGAGTTTGCGGATATCTCGTCAAAATCAAGGCTCTGTGTTTTTGGCCTCCTGGTGTTACTGTGAAGCTGCAGGATTAAGAAACATTAATAACCGAACACATTCTTCTCGTCAAATATTCCAACAGCTAATGCGAAGCAGTAATTTGCTTTGTTGGTTCTTTGAAATTAAAACGATAAATGACTTCCTCAGATCATACGCATGTTTTAGCCCACTATAGATCGCTAAGGGGATTCATCTTTCCTCGTATTTATGCACGATTGAAGAGCATTGGAATTCATTACCAAAACATCGTTAGGAAAAGCACTATACATACCCTCATGCTGCCTACCTCACCCATTATATCTGCACCCCGCTGGTTTATAGGGTAAGGTGATAGATCACCATCCTTTGTCCTGTACTTTTCATTGCTGCCAGAAAAAGGATGCACAACCGGCTAAATGAATTTCTTAAACCTTACCAAGTGAATCTTGTGCAGTAACTGAGTGAGCTTGCTGTTTCTGTATGGGACATGTGGATTTTTCTGAGCGAGTGATGCGATGACATCACCCAAAGCTGAGAGAGATTTATTAATATGCTGTGCCTCTTTGAGTCTATCTCCCGTGGCCTCAGATTTGTCTACCCTTTCACTTCCTGCCGCCAAATCAACCAGATGCATGCACCCACGAAGAATGGCACCAGATGTCAAGTCTCTTCCTTGAACATGAACGGTCAAGCAACTGCCAAATTGATCATTTCAACGCAACAGTTAATCATGTTTCGAAATGCACCATACACAAACAAGAAGCATTAATACCAGGAAAATTTATAGGATATACCTATGAGAGCGGCTGCTACGGTCATTAAGGGCCGTTGCTCCAACTGCGCGATTCCTCTGCCCCAGGCTCATTAGATCAATAACATCAAGGGTTGATGATACAGGGACAAGGCTTGCATCTGGTACACTCAACCCCTTATGTGAACTACTTCGAATTTCTAATGTGTCGATGATTAAGGCCAAACATCACCGCTCAAAGCTGTTTCATTTTAAGCTTTGACAATATAGAAAAGGAAATAACAATAACAATAAAATAGTAAGAATAAAGTAGCTGTCAATGTCATCTGTATTATCTAACCTCTGAGGTTTTAATCTTCTACAGCCATATCAATAGAAGGTCACGCTATACCTAGGGGTACAACCCTTTTACGTAAGAAAATCAAGTGGCTAGTAAAAGGATATCTTCTGTTTGTTCCATCAGTAACCAGAAGATCCCTGACTTGCTCGTTATAAATCTCAATCATTTGAACAGCCACATCATAGCGAAAAGTGTCCTTTCGTTGGTATGCTATATGAAACAAATCGCTTAGAGCCCTGTAATTTACACCCTGACTTTTCTCTGTTATCTCTTTCGGCCCAGTCTGCATGTCAACAACACAAATGAGCACTAAATTTTTATATTTGTCAAATTTCTAGGGATAACTTGGCGTATCCTACCATAGTGTAAGTTTTTCCTGATCCTGTTTGGCCATATGCAAATATGCAAACATTATAACCATCAAGGACAGATCTAACGAGTGGCTGCATATCAGAGAAGACCTCCGCTGCAACGCGAGGAGATACAATTTCAATCATTAAGACGTAAAAATCCTCGAGATAATTTAATTTATAAACAAACTAACCTTGGGTTGTGGATGGCCCAAAGATTTTGTTGAAGTTGAATGTTTTGCGCCCTTTTCCATTCCTTGATGGAATATTTCATTTGAACAGCCACATCATAGCTGTCCTTTCGTTGGTATGCTATATGAAACAAATCGCTTGAGCCCTGTAATTTACACCCTGACTTTTCTCTGTTATCTCTTTCGGCCCAGTCTGCATGTCAACAACACAAATGAGCACTAAATTTTTATATTTGTCAAATTTCTAGGGATAACTTGGCGTATCCTACCATAGTGTAAGTTTTTCCTGATCCTGTTTGGCCATATGCAAATATGCAAACATTATAACCATCAAGGACAGATCTAACGAGTGGCTGCATATCAGAGAAGACCTCCGCTGCAACGCGAGGAGATACAATTTCAATCATTAAGACGTAAAAATCCTCGAGATAAATTTAATTTATAAACCAAACTAACCTTGGGTTGTGGATGGCCCAAAGATTTTGTTGAAGTTGAATGTTTTGCGCCCTTTTCCATTCCTTGATGGAATATTTATTGTGATAGTTCCCTCTTCCATACTCTCCACTGTACTCATATAGCTTGATTGTCCGGGTAAGAAGGGTCTTACTCGACAATACACCCTAATACTTCCTGTTTAAATAAATAACTATCCTTAGTCTATTTTGGGATCAAAATCCTTAGAAAAGCATAAATGGGGCTTAATCTTAAGATAATCAGTAATCTTAATACCCTTAAGATCCTGGACTTGGTTATATAGTTTACGATTTTCTTCAAGAACCTTATGATATCCAGAAGCAGCATGAGCTAATCCGTGAACATGCATTCCTATAAAGGAAAAGTGCACGATCAAATAAGATGTCTCATCCAACAATCTCATGGTGGAAAACCAAAATATCTTCATCTCAAATATTTACCAAGATTTGAAAACTCCTCGTGAAACTTCATGCTCATGAACTGCATACCAGCTTTTGTGGTGTGAAGAGTATGCCTTAGTTCCTATAAAAATATAAAGACGAAAACAAAATATTAATAATCAGATTAACAAAAGGCAAGGCTAATAGAATTATTATTACATAGCTGCTCCCTACTTGAATATGTCTTTGCTGGTGATCAAAGAGCATTTGCTGTTTCAGAAGTTGGTTTTGCAGTTCTTCTTCAGCAACGCAGTTTCTATGAATTATATCCTTTTTACTTATTACCAATGGAGTCTTGTTCTCTACCTGATCAATTCAAAAGAGCAAGTCTAAGAAAACATTTTTTTCAATGTCATCATAGTGTTAGAATTCATGGAATATGTGAAACACATGTTTTGTCACCTTTTTATCTCCCCCCACAAACTTTGATACAGGGCGGTTGCCTTGAGAAACACTCTCTCTTGACGTAGTTTTAGTCTGAGTTACATGATGAACAAAGAAATAAGAAAAGCTTGTCATAAATATCAACATAAAAACAAATAACAGTACTAAAAGGTGAAGAATATTGTACCGGTTCACCTTGGCGTGCAATCCGATGCTCAAACTCCTCTACAACTTTGTTTAAAACAGATTCAACCAACTGCTCCATGCAGAAGAACAATACAACTTAAGAGGCAGTGTCAAAGGCACTCATAGTCTTATTGGTGACAATAAAGGGGCTAAGCTAACTGATATGCATTTATAATGCGCGTTTTAACATCCTTTCAAACAGCAGAAATGAGTAGGTAAACCACACAAACAATTGAGAAGCATTTTTATGATGATACTAGACAGACTCCCAGATAATATAGCACACTTGAAATCTGTAATGCGTAACTTGATTAGAAGTTTCTGATTAAGTTCTGTCATGGACCCAGAAAAGTGCATATCTACTTACCATTGGGACTTCGTCAGGTTTCTTATCAGACAGAATTGCATGAACGAGCGAACTCAAAGAATGAGAGCCAGACTGCAAAAGCATGAGCAGTCCAAACTTTTATTTAATTGTCATGTTTACTATAGAAAACGAGCAGATATAATGACAAAAAATTAAAGCTTACCGACCATTTTACTAGAGTCAACGTCAGTGGGAGAAGCAGTCACAGATTTTTCATTGATGGATGAGTTCCTTGACAACGAACTAGTAAAGGGCTCTGAATTTTTTCTCACAAAAGATTTTCCGGAAGCTGTGGCCTTAACAGTTCCACCAAACTTCCATGCTCCATTTGCCCCCGTCTGTTTCCATTCACCATAGGATTTAAGGCCCAAAACGCAGTTCACAATCCGAGCTGACTTTCCCCCCTAAAATACAATAAAGTAATGAGCAGAAAACCAAAACTACGAATTTTAAAACAACCAGAACGCAGATATGCTAATGAAATATCCAGTGTTAGTTGCAATCAAATTCCCTGCGGTTGAAATCCTTACACAGAAAGAGTGAAATAATAAGATTCTGGTCCTTTACATACTTGTTCCAGATCAGATGCCTCAAAGGTAGGGAGTCCGATTTCTTGGATAGCCACAAGGAAGTTCCTCACGTTTTCAAAATATTGAAATGCCGACAATGGTGCTCCATCTGGGATCATCGCAGAATCAACAGGACTTTCCACAACCTACAAAGAAGGGTAATTAGTAGATAAACTGTAATCAGCATATGAAATATAGGAAAGTAATTGAGATGGAGCTCACCTTAGGCACAGCTCCAGGTTGGACCTTATTAATAACATTGCAGAGGATAATCCCACTTCTCAAACCAAGTCTAAACTCTTCCTCAGAGGGTTCTGCTGGTAAATCTTTAGCGGCAACAACTCCAACCATTTTTCTCAGCCACCCTGCTGCTTCGTATCTTCTTGATGCTGCATTTTAAAATTTCTTATAAGCGATACTAACGACATTCGGTGGGATTTCAAAAATGTTATGGAAAAAAAATATGAGCAGATCAAAGGGCCATAGACTTATCGGAGCCGGAATAATAACATTCTCTAAGCTTGCTCTCATCATGAGTCATGGAAAAAAAGGTTCAGACAGAAACTATAGGTGCTGGGTACCACATACAGCTGAAAAACTAGGCACCAGATAATGCATATAATCCGCCATTCCTAAACTGATTTTCTCAAAAACAGAGAAGAATAAAAAGGAGAGGCAATTACCAGCTTCCTCTGCTTTCCTCGATTCTAAATCAAGATCTTTGAGACGAGTGCCGTGCTGCTGAAGCACATCCTCCACCACCGATGCCACCGAAAACGATAATGCTCCCTCTGCAGCCATCGTTTCCTTACTAGGCACTAAACAAACTGCGAGCTGACCTTGCAATCCCCCGCCAAAAACCAAACTCAACAATTCAACTCGTCAACAGTGAGCAACATCATTCATGGAATAAGCATTGATCAATTAATATCTGGAGCCGCTTGAAGAGACGGAGAGTCTGATTTCACAGAAAAAAATAAAGATGAGAAACAGAGAAGAGAATTAAAAATGGCAGGAATGTGCTCTCTTGATGTTGACGTTGAGTGTTTTTGAGGTTTCTTTTCTGTGTTACCAAATTCAAACACTCACATCCTCCATTACCTTTTGCTTTTCTCTACCTCTAACAAAGCATAAGCAGGTGCTCCCACAGATAGCTCTCTCTCTCTCTCTCTCTCTCTCTCTCTCTGTATCATCCGCTTTATACTCCCACTAAGTTGGTTTTCTCTTTCCCATACCTCAATCCCGAACCTACTCCCCTAACTCCCACGTCCCACCCTTCCCGTTCTAAAGTTGGCAATTTTATACCTGCTGTGATCCTGTGCCTTTTACGGGAGTTTTTATATTATATAAATAGATTGATATATGCTCTACTATGTATTTTTGTTCGAGAAAGTGCACGTAATTGTAATTGTAAAATTAATTGTAAGCCTAGTTTTGGTAGTAAGAATGCCATGTGGTGTGAATAAAAATTAAATAAATAAATGAGATCAGAGTTATAAAAAAATTACATTAAAGGGGGCGTTAACTCTGTTAAAGAACACCTGCGAATCAATCTAAAAGATGCTAAAATTTTTATATACTTATTTTTTTGCTATTTACATATGTTTCCATTTAACTTTTATATCATTTACAATTTTAAGATGAACTTGAGCATAAAATTTTTTATATTTTTATATGACAAAAATTTCAATAGATGGAATGAATAATGTAACCGCTTTTGTGCTAAACACGTGATGCCTTCTAATATATGAATTTTGAATGGAAAATACATATAATTATGAAATTAACAATATACGATAAAAAACTCATCTAATAGTATTGTGAAACTTTTTATATTTATATGATCCGATTGAAATTTTATAATTATTTAATTACAAATGAACGAAATAAACGCCATGTTGGCTCACTTTGAAAAAGAATGAGTCCCATGCATATGCATATATACGCATACTTTTATATATATGTAAGTATATGTATATTGAGCTCTTTTGATATTAAATATAAGACCTTTATACACACTAGTATGAGTATAAAACCCTTATTTTAAACCCGAGGAGTATTTTGTTTTTGCCTATTCTATCCCTCTTGGCTTCACCGCGCGTGTAGTTAAGGCAGCGTAAGTAGGAAAAACTGGGAGAAAAGAAGTGGGCATAGGATCTCCCTTTTTTTCCACTAACAAAGAAGGGATCCGGGGATTCAAGAGGATTTTGGATATGACCCCTTTGCCAATATGATGTGTCCTCTTTCTCATCCACGTGGCTACTTCTCATTTCTTAGTAATTTATCAGGAACATTTACATTAAATAATTAATAATTAATAATTTATTATTTATGATCATGATGCCGCCGAAGAAAACAAAGGAAAAGACACCAACATCACGCCAAAAACGTCTCAAGTTCAACACATTCATGGCATAATAATAATAATACTAATAATAATAATAATACCATATCAATCGCCGAAATTAAAAAGAGAGAGAATTTTAAATATCATTGACCATCTGCTTTATGATATTCCATGATAATATTTGGTTAATTATCATCGTAATTAAATTCTCGCCTGATATTTAATACCCATATATTGTCATAGTTTCTTTTAACTTATTATTTTTAATAGATTAGAGTATATGAGATTGTAAGTTTATTTTTAAAATAGAGATAAAAGATTTGATTTCTCAAAACACATTTTTGTAATAGAATTTGAATTGAATGTGAGGGAATTTTGATATACTTATCTTGAAAAAAAAACTCGGTTATAATTTAATTTACAGTCCATTAATTAATTCCTTGCATTAATGGTGAAATGTTAGGAAATCAAATCACCAGAAGCAGCACCAATGGCATGTACTTACGGTATACCCGAAAAGAACAAGGGACCAACAGTTGAACGGCATAAAGTCCAGCGTTGGGTTCGTTAATAATAAAAATAAAACTTGCCATAAAAGTGATATTACTCTCCAATGAGATACCTGAAAAATAAAAGAAAGAAAGCCATGGCCTCGTACACAGGCTTTTTGGAAAACCAGCTTGTGTTCATGAAGACTTGCCATTATTATATCCGATCTGCGCAGAATGATTTGTTTTCTTTTATTCCAAGTTTCCAAAATTAATATGATCCTCCGTTTTAAAAAAAAAAATAATGGAAGACGCGGACGTTGGACGTGTAAATAATGTTAACTTCCAATCGCAACATGATCTCTCAACAACACGACCTCAGATACCCTTCTTCTTCCTGTTGTTGACGTGATGCCTTTGTTCTTTCTTGTATTTAATTTCCTTTTATGGTTAAATATTAAAAGTATGATTTAAGAATCGTGACATAATGACCACCACTCATGGTCCCCGTCACTAAGAATAATCCTCCTTAATTAATTTCTAAGACGTGACACCCCTGTTAGGGAATTCTTAAAAGTGTTGTGTTGGCTTCATAAAACCTTTTTTTTTTTTTTTTAATTTGTGGGGATCTAAAATACTGAGAAGGTTTTATATATATAAGTGGAGAATGATATTTAAGAGATTGAAGAAGGGGGTGGTTGCGTTTGTCGTCTTCGTCAATGCTCATCCACAAAACAACACACCCCACACCGGGTCAATCTCTCTACTTTGTACTTTACAATCATTTTCTTCTTTTTATTCCCCATATAGAAATGATTAAAGCGATATATATATATATATATATATATACAATCTAAATTTAATTCCCATGATGCTAATCAAAACGCGGGAGTTTGGCTTTATGGCATGGACGGTGAAATGACAGAACTGACCCCGGCTCCCTGGTCAAAGCAAGCATCATTTGTCAAACTAAAATTAGCGTTAATACGGCCGACCTGATCCGCTGGAGATTTGTTGAGTTCAAGGACCGGTGCTGCGTCGTATTCATATAACATTATTTGAAGGCAAAGGAAGCGTCGTAATAGGTCCACCTTCTCATCCGCAGGACGTAGTCAAGTTTGGAAGTGAAGAAAATGCACGGCTTCATTCCCACAGGGCCATGCCATTATCAACACTGGTTTCAACTGGTAAAAAAGCTTGAAAGCAAACACTCACTCACAATTATTTCATACATATTATCTTAATCTCTTCTTCACTTGCTGCCCAACAAAAAAAAAAAAAAGAACCCGTCATTCAACTAACATAAAAAATTCAAACACCCAGAATTTATTGAATGAGCAGATTAAAAAATGAATGACACGTCAGACAAAATATATTATCATCGAGCACATTAATGGTATTAATTATTTGCTGTGCACTGTGCGGCGCACTTGATATAATTATTTGAAAGTTATGAAATAGAAGCTCAGTATATGAACAACAATGATTACAAAAAAAAAAAAGTCATCTAACCAAATAATCAAAAGTTTGGAGGCCAAATAAGGAAGAGATCATAGTGAAATATGTAAGAGAAGTTTGAGTGCAGCGGGAAGTTGGAAGGAGGAGAGATCAGAGATGTTGAGGGAGAAATTTTGCAAGGAAGTGGGTTAAGCGGCACGAGAAGCCGAAGGGAGGGGCATAACTGACAAATGGCAGAAGCCGGGTGCGTAACGGTCAAAAATATTCAAACAAGTGGTTCGGAACCGAAGCAAGGAGGAATGGGAAAGGGTTGGCGAGGCCCATGTAGGCAGCGCGTGACCAGGCAGAAGGGCAAGGGAGGGGCCTCGACTGCTCGAAGAATAAGGATACATGTGCACTTGAATTTCAATAAATAATAATAATAAGTAATTATAATGATAAAGAAAGGAATATTGTTATTAGGGGGAGAAGCGAGGTGGAAGAAGACAGCAGGAGTGAGAGGCCTTTGGCAAGTTTTGCCCTTTTGGTTGATACGTGGCACCTTCCATTTGGTTGTCTCCGCCCTCTATCATTTATATTGCCCCCACTGTCACCTGAAGCGCGCGACTCACCCCCTCGATTAATTGCCTTTTTTCCCCTTATAAATAAAGCGCACCACCTGCTTTCTCCATCCCATATTCCCTTTCTATTATACCAATACTGGATATAAAATTTATTAAAAAAAATAAATTCCCCAGAAATTCTATAGAGAAAAGAATCCTGTTACAGAGAATGCGAAAGAAAAATTCGATTGTTATATTTTTTTTAAGGATAATTAATATATAAGTCCTTATAGTTTCAACTGGTTTTTAATCAAGTCCTTATAATTTTTTTTCTTTTTATCAGATCCTTATACTTTTATATATTTTTAATCAAGTCCTTATAATTTTTTTTCTTTTTATCAGGTCCTTATTGTTTTACTTTGTTTTTAATTAGGTCCTTGTAGTTTTTATTCTTTATTTTACAAATAATAACATTTTAAAACTAATAAATTATTGTAACAATCTTATGTTAATATTCTTTTAAGTTTTTAGTTAAACAAATATATTATTTATTTTCAATTTGAATTTTTATAATTATAAAATTCAAATTATAATAATAAATTTATCTAAAATTAAAATATGATTATAAATAATTTATATTTAAGTATAATTATTATTCTGATTATTTATTAATTACTAAATGATTATATTAATTATTTTATCCAATTATATAATTATTAATTTAAAAATGAAATTAATTTTAAAGAATAAAGTTAATAAATAATTTTTCAAAAACTACAAAGCACCTAATTAAAAAATAAGTGAAACTATAAGGACCTGATAAAAAGAAAAAAAATAGAAGGACCTAATTAAAAACACACGAAAGTAAAAGGATCTGATAAAAAGAAAAAACTTTATAAGGACTTAATTAAAAATCAGATGAAACTATAAGGACCTGGAGATTAATTATCCCTTTTTTTAATTAAAAATAACAAATTAATACAGAGATTAACCCTGAATTTTGTCCCGCCTAGCAAAGGAGTAATGATGCGAAAGTAAGAAAAGGTCAAAAGTGAATGGCTGAGGGATATAGCGAAGTGGATGGAGGCCTTAGCATTTTGTGCAATGTATGAAAGTCGAAACCAAAATGATACAGAACATGGTAGTGGTGCATGGGACCTGCAAAGTTGAATATGATTGTTAAAGGCAGGACCCAAAAGGCTATTAATATTAATATCAATAGTTGAACTATAATTGAGAATGCTAATCTAAGGGAGCTTTTTAGTTACAGATTATTATTATTATGAAAAGTTAAAACAAAAAAAAGTTAGGAGCCATTTTGCCTTTTTCTTTTTTGAGACTTTCACATGGGAAGTGAGCCCAGATGCTGCTGCTGCACCACCAGCACAATATGATTAGCTTCACGAGCACATGCTCTCAGTTTCCTCTGCTAAAGCGACTCTTTAATCTAACCTAAGGTCAGTAAAAAACAAAACCCACTTCTCTTGTTACCATCAAAATCAGCATATTTAGCTTCTGCCTCAAGTTTCTTGGCTTTTTTTTTCATCTCTCTCAAGTACACCACTGTCCCCTTGGCCACCATCCGAGATTACAACAGATAAAAAGATAGCTGTCACACACTGCCTTCATCATGGCAGTGATTTGTACAGGAGGCTTCGGGATCACCACAAATAGTAAAACAATTCATCATCCCAGTCATTATGATATGTTTGTGTTTATAATAATTACTATATGTTCAACTGGCTGCCCACTATACAAGATACGCGTTTAGAAATTTGCTGTACAAAACTCACGTTTAGAGGACTCAAAATATATATTTTCAGGCCAAACGGGAAAGGGAAGCCTAACCTTAACTTCAAAGATAATTCGTTCAGTTATGTTGCCAAAATTTGCGGTAAGGTGGGATCGAACTTTTTTGTGAGGAATAGTTTGGTTGTATATAATTGATTAATGGGATATTAGATCAGAAACATAAAAAATTATCAAGGGAAGAGAGCAACACAGCTAGCTAGAGAGAGAGAGACAGAGAGAGAGAGGCGCTTGTAAAGGAGGTGGAATAACCAGCATTACAGAAAAAGAATGATGAAAGATTGGCACTCCGGGGTCCTTTAATGGCTTTAAGACTTTTTGGACCAACCAAACCATGATGAAAGGTGAAAGAATAGTAATCTCTTGCTTCTCATATTCCCCTCCCACTCATATTTCCCGTCATGTTCTGTATTTCAGCAGCTGATATTTTGTCTCTTTAATCAGCCCTCCACAAATAACGACGCTCCCAAAGAATTTGGTACAAAATCTCTTGCTTTAATGAACCGCACTGTTTTGATCTCATGTCCTTTAATTTCACTGAACGGAAATACACCCACCCCAGGTAGAAGTAAAGCAACAGTAATATTTCTGGAGCATAAAGATATCGGATACTTGTAGTAGTGTTTCTTTCTTTTCTTCTTTTGAAGATGATATAGCTTTGGCAAAGGAATCCATTCCCACCAGTCTTGTCTGGCGATATCTTTCGCTCAACATTGGATACCGAAGGAAATGCCGAGTCCCAGTCATTGATTTGAGACAGTAACAGTTGGTACACTGGCTTGCAAAAGCATCATATGTGTCTTAAAGATATGATGTGAACAACGTCATTTTTAGTTTTCATAGCAATTAGCCACTATCCATTCATATTAATTCAATAATGAGCTGTCCAATTATGGGGCATGATGACCTTAATTTGCAACCCTTAACTGGCATGCTCATGTGGAAGAGGGAAGACGAGTTTTCAAATCGAGATCCAGGATATTAAAGTTCAAAAGTCCTTTTTAACCAAGAAATTCAAAAAGCTTTGTATTTTTTTTTTTTTTCAATACGCTGTCCACTTTAAACAGCATATAATTGAGTGCTCTAAAGAAGAAACAAAACCCACCATCGTTGAAAAAGATTGCATGCTTCGCAGGGAAGCTGAGTGAGACCGTTATCTTGTTGGATAAAAACCTTGCTCGCCATTTGTTACGCATTCTAAGTTATCTGATTCTGACAATTTAACTCCTTGTGACTTACCACTCCCATAAATCTCTCAAAAATAAATAAATAAATAAAGGTTGGATTTTCTTATTCAATTCTCTCTGTTAGTTTCAAATTCTTATCTGTTTGATGAGATGTTAATTTCACGGGCATGGCTTAAACCATCACCAGAAAAATAATGGGGAAAGGAAAAAGGGTTTGCGATGAGGGAGCTGGAGGACATGGAGGGCTATCATGTGTCATTAATCTGCATTTATTTATAGATCATAAGTTAGGCAGTTGTGTTGCGCGTTATGCGGGAATTGTGAATATTATATCTTGTTATAGAATTACTAATTGAATTGAAATTGGCGATTGATTAGTATTTGATTGATCAAACATAGGAGCTTATGGGTCAACCGTCAATATTTTTCAGATAAAGAAGACTGATTGCATAAACCCCTAACTAAAGGATGACATATGTATGTTAAACATACTTTGCAGATTGTATTATATCAGGGGGCGTTTGTTCCTAGTTCGTCCATTTGGGTTATTGCGAACATTTGTTCATGTTTTAAATTCACTCTAACTTAAAAAAACAGCCAAATGGAGAATGAGGAGGCAGCCAGAATAACAAGGGCCACACCGACATTAGATAAGGTTGACAGTTTAGACTGTGAAGCAGGATTTAAAGGGGCGTGAGGCCCAGGCTTGACCAGCCAAGGTAAGCAATGACACATACAAGTACAACACGCTGTGGAGGTTGGCCCTTGCCCTTGCACTACGCCCCCAATCCAAGAGCAAGCCCTCCTAAAGCAGTCCAAGGGCCCCTTCTCTTTCTATTACATTCTTTTTTCTTTTTCCCCCCAATACAAGCTTATATTCAAACCATATACAAATAGAAGGGAGGACAGAGGACCCTATAGCCCCTCTATCAATCAAATTCAGTACACTTCCTACAATCAAGGGAGGACAGATATGACCAAAATTAAACATTTAGCCGAAGAATTTTCCTAGCAAATCAGTTCGCACAATTTCTTCCCCATAAACACGCTCAAATTCGACATTTTAATGAGGCTAAAGGAGACCTAATTTCTTCAATGTCATTCTTCAAAGGCAACCACTAAGATTAACACTGACGATCTTGTTCAGCTAAAGATCTAGCATTACTTACATCTTCGAACCCGTCATTTCAGCAAATCTTGATCCCTTCCAAAGATGCCCTTCACCTTCTCTTCCATTGCTGTTAACGGTAACAGCTTATCTTCTATCACCGTCACATCCTCTACCAAACTGCTAATTTTGCATTCTCACTCTATCCTTTTTTTTTTTTTTTTTAAGTTCCCCAACGGTAGTCACCCACATCAACTATTTATCCGCAAGCCATTATGATATATATATATATATATATTGACAGCACCCCAGTGCTAAAGTGACCGAAATGAGAAATCAACAAACATTTTGTGCATGAATGCTAAAAGCCTAAAATGGTGCCGATGACGGGCTGGGTAGATTCCCAACTCCTAGCTCCGTTAGAATGTTAAAACCAGACTCTTACCACCATCAACACGAGTTTGATTACTGGAATGCATAGCGCTTGATCTGTGATGCCAGAACAGCATGCTAAGCAGGAAGTGATAAATAATATTCAAGATGAACTAATTATTAAACTGTTACGGAGGGGCGGGGGGTTGACAAGAAAGCAATTGCACTACTCATGTCTTTATCGTCATTATCACTTAGTATAAACATCCTTCAGTCCAGCAGCTAAGACAATGATTTCGCACCGCCTTGAAAGAGGGAGAAGCCTCTATTTTAAAATTCCGATTATGCGAGAATCAGCAGAAAACAAATAACATACAAAAAGAATAGGACTTCTCACCCATAAAAAAGAACAATTAGCCAGCTGGACTAACTTATGTATCAGAACAATTCTATCGTTGCGCAGGCTGACCATGATCCATCATCACAATACATGGGTTTGCGGATCAGAGGGGATGAGTGAAACAAGAAACCGGTGTATCATTTCAAAGCTAGTGAATGTGATTACAGCTGCTGGGGTTGTCCTCAACAGGTTTGTTGCACATCCACGGTAAAATCCCGGTAAGCCATCTTGCTGAAAGACCTTCTGAATGCAGTCAACCATACCGGAATAACGCCTCCCTGAATGGTATCCTTGCTCTTGCAATCTAGAACGTATAACCTGTGAATAGAACAGAAAAATGTTAGTTTCCTTCACTTACCAGTCATTTCCATAACCAATTTAGATCCAGAATAATGATTTCATCAGTCCTCTACCCAAACCAAAGAAACAAGCCTTTCTAAGCTGACGATGAGATGAAGCTCAAAACTTTCAAGAAATAGCTGGAAGTATACTGTAAAATCAGCACACTCAACTATGATTGTTACCCTTTTATTCATCATGCCACAAGATCGGGCAATACAAATGTTCTCATGTAAATCCAAAAATAAATTGTTGCATTAAAAAAATCCACAAATAAATTCAACTACGTCGCTCATTCAGCAGTATACCTCATGCGGATATGTTAGGGTGGACGCAAAAATTTTAGAAACTGATGACGCAATTGCAACATCACGAGCACCAAGCTTATCTGTGGCTGTGTTATCTGACTCAAAAATGATCCCATGAAGTAAGTGCCACAGCTTTTAAGCGTTCACAAAAGGACAATAAACGGCTAGAAATTACCTTGGTTTGCCAAGTAACATTTTATTTTCTCATATGTTGGAAACTGAATGGCAACATGACTGATACCAGCAAGAGCAGGTACAAGGCCACTGTACAAGTTTAAGAAAATATAAGGCGTCATAAAATAAGATTACTATCTGTAAAGCTGCAAAAATCAGTCGTGCTGTTCATTCACCATGCACAACCTGTACAACCCCCGAATGCCCTCCTCATGAGCAATTCTCCTCAGAGCAGATAGCGTGCTCCTATAAGGCACAACCCCAGATCTCATTCCCTGGGTCTGCATTACCATAAAATATAAAATAAGAAGAAAGGAAAGCACACTCATTATAAAAGATATATTAAGACATGCACCGATGTGCAGCAGGGTACAGAAAATGTCAGCCCTTAGTCTTAGTGGGCCATTATGAATCCAGCACACGATACATGCAAGCAAAATAAAGTTCACAGATGCTACTATAGGAATGTTTGCATGCTTGACACTCCAAATGCTACAATAGGAATGGTTGCTTGCTTAACAAATGAAATGTTCGCAGACTTTTCCCATATAATATATACGTATATGTATCCAGAGTTGTGGTCCATGGCCAATATATGGAAAAACAACAAACCATAAACTATTAATTGCATGTCATCGAGCAATAAGCATTTAAAGGAACTGACAAATTAAGTCAAATGAATGTAATAGCTATAATAGAAATTGCATCAAAAAATTAAGAGACACACTTGAAGTCTGGTCTTGACAACCCAAAGTGGATTTGTAGCAATGGTAGTCGCAGCCCCAGCAGCAGAAGCAGCTAACATATTAGCTCCAATTGAAAGATGATGGTGTTCATCTGCAAATAGCCAAATATAAATAACATGACTTTTACCACCTACACATCTATATAAAAGAATTTGATTTGCAGCACATTGACAAGCTTAAGATCAGAATAATAGAGAGCATTTTATCACCAAAAACAACGCTCAAGCAATCTCCTGCTAACTCCAATGGGAAAAGAAAAGTAACCAGTAAAGGACTAACCGTTGGAACAAAGAAGGCTCTTAAACTGTTCATACATGGTAAAATAAACCTGAAAGTTCACAAATTAAAATGATTACAATGCAAACTGACAAAATCAGTATTCTACTTTCCCAAAAATAGTGGAAACGGGCTCAACATCAGTAGCATGAAGAGATTTGTAGGGTCGATAAAATCTATAATGCAACTGTAAGACAATCTAGGGCAGGAAATATTGATATCATAACCTTGATGGCCACTCATATTCGTTTGTTTTCTCCTGCTTTAAAATGCACACTTGGACTTTCTTTTCTACTATGTATACACGCAAAAACAGAAAGACCTCAGAGGAATTCTGTTTCTTAAAGTCATAATCATATCGACCAACCAAATCCATCAAAACAGCCACAAATCGGAGGTTGGCAGGATTAGACTTCATACTTTATACAGAACGTTAACTCAATACGAAGCCACCAATGATGCTACCACAACAATCATTAATTAAATATCGATCTTCATGACTCAGCAGCTTCCGTTCAAATAGCTAGTGTATATACTGACCCAACAACCTAGACATTTCAGAGTGAACCTCGTGTATTTATGGAGTTGGAAGGAAAATTTATTTAGTGACTAGTCATCATACAAATCAGCGGGTGAGAATAAGCTCTCGAGAAAAAGGAAGAATAGACTTACCGCCCAGTTTGGAAGTAGAGCCAACACAGTAGGCGCCAGACCGCGGTACATGCCACGGAACCCCTCCTTGTGAAATATTTGTTCCAAACTACCAACTATTAGACTGCCTGACAACAGAAACACCCAATCTGTTTCAGATGAACTATCGAAATGCAAGTAATCTACTCCAGTTGTTCGTGTAACAAGCTCTTATAAGCAGCCGCGGGACTCTAACGCAGGTGCTATTATTATTATGTAACAAATTCAGGTAAGCTGCGCATCAAATCCAAGAACTACGGCTCAAAACTGAAATTCTAGAAGAATCTTCTTTATGATCTCAGAATACGCCTCTCATTCTGTTGTTTTGCTAATTAATAAAAAAATGATTATCACGAACGAAAACAATAAGTACAAGACAGGAAATACCTTTAATACTTCCATTAGCAAGCTGCGGCAGCCCATGAACCTGAAACCTAGTTTTGATGACGTCTAAAGGACATACAAATGTAGCGGCAATAACTCCTGCACCCATTTAATGTTTTTTCCGTTTTTAACATCTCAGATGGCGTGTCAGATGAAAGCAAATAAGAAAATCACCGCATTGTACAGAACTAAAACAGTCATGTATGAGGATGCATCAGAAAAAATCGCATACCGGCGGCGGCACCGGCCCCAGCATTGCAAAGAATAACCTTAGAAGCAGGGACATGAGTATCAGCGGACATAGCTGGTGAATTCGACGATGGTATACTGAAAAGAAGCCAAATTTCTGGGGAAACGAAAAGGGTCCTCTCTCCGGAGGGCGTTGGCGGAGAAGCAGAGTTGCATGGCCTGAGGCTGAGTTGGGTGAGAGAATATGAGAGATGAACAGGAAATCAAGAAATTGGGATTGATTTTGGTTGGAGGGAAGAAGATCAAATTAGGGTTCGATGAGATCGAAAAGAAGGAAGGGGTAGGTCCTGGTGGTCCATGTTGGGACGTTGCGGGGAGTCAAAGCGGGAGAAGGCGTCCAGGATGGGTAGCTGCGTCGCGCTACGCTTCTCCCGTCCCCCGCATCTCCAAAGACCAACGTGTCTCTTTTATCTATCTGTCTTCGATCTGTCTATCGCCGCGACGTTTGTCAAATGGGCCTCGCCCTTTTATTATGTGTTGTTTGCAGCCGAAACTTGAAAGAAAAGAGGCTTCGTCTTTTCTTCGACTTAGTGGGCCTAATGTTGGGCTTACCAGCGTAAAAGCCTCTATTAAAGGAAGCCCATATCAACACCGTGGTTTTGAAGAACGGGCCAATCCATACCCGGCACTCCGTTCTCTCTCTCTCTCTCTCTCTCTCACACACACACACACACACACGAGACTGAAATCCATTAGTAAAACCAGGTACTGCAATCAAACCAGAGACCAGCAACCTTATCCTATTCCATCTTCTAAAATAAAAGATGAATTTTAAAATTAATTATTGCTGTCACATTTTATTTCAGCATAATATATGAATTTTAACAGACATAAAATCTATCACTTTATACATTGGATTCGAATTTTCAGTTTACTCAAATAAATGTTTGCAGGATTTATGACCTGACGTAAACATAATTAAAGAACACCAGAACTCAAACAGTTCAAGGCATGCTCAATAAACAATTCCTCGCTTGCCTTCGTTACTAATCTCACTTTCCTTTGAAATTATTGGCTTACCCCTGTTGGCACATATACCGTAATAATACTTATTACTTGAAAGTCATTGTCACCAAATAGTTGTTAGCAAATAGCAACATAAATTAATGTGATGTAGTCATGTAAACAGAAATGGGAATGAATAGATTACCAAATAAATATATGAACGCCAGCCACTAGTGTATGAGGAAAAGGCGCAAACGAAGGCCAAAGTGTTGTCAAGTCATTGGCACGCCCAGCTTAGAAACAAGGGTCCCATCAGCTATTATAGGGACTGTTGGTACAATGTCCCCATTGTTACAGCATATTCCGTATGCTATTGAAAAACAGCTATGCATGCCTGTAAGGGTCGGGTCCGACTGGTTGCAAACGGGAACGCAAGGCGCCTTCCCTACCATGTCATGGGCTCGATACCTGCGAGTGCACCTGGGATTAGTCTGGCCTTGCTGAGGCTGGGATACCCTGAGGCAGCGATCACATCCTACTCAAAAAAAAAAAAACAGCTATGCATGTTTTGATTTTCGATTAATTAAAAAATTTGACAACAAGGAAGTAAATTTGCAACAGTAGATCTTACATTTTAGAGTTGCTATGCAAAGAGGCTTGGGAGGAGGGAGAGGAACCAGAAGGGCGTCCGGTGAAGAGCGGAGATTGAAGCCGGAAGCACCAGTTTAGGTTTGGCACTGACGCTACTTGTGAAAAGATGGGAGATGGGAGATTTGTCTGCTTCTGATGATCCAGAGGAGGAGAGTATGCAATGCAAGCCAGAGGAAAAGCCTTAAATGCCCCCGAAGCTCCGGGAGACTCAATTCTTCTTCGTATTTCCAGAAGGTTCAATTCCCCCACGGCCATCAACCGACTCCTCCTTCCTTCCCGTCACACCCTGCAATTCCAAAGACGCCCCCCACCTCTCCTCGCGTCTGAAATCAATTGCATCCCCCAAGATAAATATATAGGGTTCATAAATAGTTTTCCGATAAATTTATAAAATATGAGGTGACTAGAAATTTTGTAAAATATGAGGTGATTAGAAATTTCGTGTATTTATAAATAATTTTTAAAGTCACATCAAACAAGTTAATAATAAATTTTAGTTAAAATTTTTTTACCAAGACTTTAATTAAAATTTAAAATACTACTTTTCCAGATTACACTATAGTATGACTTAAATTTAGTTGTTATGAAATTTATGATATTCAAGATCATAAGGCAAAATCTTTTTCGCCAAACAAAAAGAGGGAAAATCCTTTTTGTGTGATTTGGGGCAGAAGCGGAGCCGGAAGTGCAGGTTAGGAGGGCATTTAGGGCATTTCATGGAGAAATTTGTCCAAAGGCAACGGAGAGTTACGGCAGGGGAAAGCAGGTTTCGTCCGAAACATAAAGAAAACAAGAGGCCTATTTCCGGAACACTTCCTTGGCTTACATAAAAACTCCTCCAAACCCAACCTCCCAACATACGTGCAAACCTTATTGATTTGCTTCCATGCCTCTTCATACTCATCTGACCGAGAATTGGCCCTAAAACCCCTTTTAAACCCACTCCCCAGTCTCTTCACTATCTAAATTTTCAATACAAATTCCTTTTTCTATATATCTGTTATTTAATCTCCCTCTAATACTGTCACTGTGTCACACGCCCTGCAATTCTCCGCAAATCACAATAATGTCTAACTCCGGGGGCTTTGCCGTGACGCGGACTCACGGCTCTGACCGCTTCTACAACCCTCCGGCTGTTCGGAGAAACCAGCAGTTGGTACTGCAACAGCAGCAGCAGCTGCAAAGACCGTTGAAGTCCCCTGCCCGAGTCGACACGGTCGAAGCGGAGACGCGCACCGACTCCGACGAGTCGTCATTGTCGAGGCCCAACTCGGTCTCCTCTTCTTCGCCACCGAGAACTGCTAATTTGACTAATTTGGATCGCCTCATGGAATCAGTCACCCCCCTGGTTCCGGTTCAGTTCTTATCCGAGGTACTGTCTGACTTATCGTTCTGTAGAAATAGTGGAAAGCGTAAGAAATTTCTGATTTTTCTTTATGTTGTGGCAACCAATACTCCGGCCTTCTTGTGAATAATTGACTCCATGGCCTTTGATTCAGACATTAGATGGTGGAGAAGCAAAATAGTTTGAGTGAAGTAAAATGCAGTTCTTATTGAAAATATATCGACTTTGTTTTCTAATTTTAAGGTTAAGATGAGAACAACTTACTGCTGGCTTTGTTGGTGCAATACCATATTGCCAGACGTCGTCAGGATCGGACTAAAATTCTTTGGCTAATTTAGCCAGGTTCTAGCTGATGTTCTACGAACAATCAACAACGTGACCAATAAAACTTTGTAATCTTTTAAATTCAAGTTCTCAAGGAATGCTTGGAGCATTGAAGGAATGACTGGATTAATGTTGCTACTAAGTGGATGGAATCGAATTCCAATTGCTGAGATGGAAGGATATGCAACTTCTTAATAGCTATTTTCATTGAAATTGTTTGTAAAGGAAAATGATGTGTGGTTGTATTTGTTGCCAGGCTTAGGTGGTACTTTTGTATGGAATTTGGTTGTGCACCGATTTTGCAAGTACAATTCGTAACTGACATAGGGAAATGAAACAATTTCTCTTCCCTAACAAATTTGCTTGTAGTGAGCCTAACTACTTTGTTACAGCTATTCTTATTTGAAAACATTGGATATTAAAGAGAAGTCATGTCTATTGTTGTTATACGGCTTCTTTGTATTCTTTTTGGTTTCAAATGTTCTTATTTATGTTTTTAATTGCTGGGGTCTGGTGTCTACAGCCGAAGAAGAGGGGATGGAGGACAACTGAAGCTGACGGGAATCTATACTTTTTACTTGGAGATCTCTGGGAATCTTTTAGAGAATGGAGCGCTTATGGAGTAGAAGTGCCGCTTTTGCTGAATGGGAGTGATTCTGTTAAGCAGTATTATATCCCATATCTGTCAGGCATTCAATTATATGTTGAACCACATAGGCCAAGGTCAGCCGTTTTGTACACCCCCTCACTCTATCTATCTATCTAGTTGTCCATCTCTTTTTTCTTTCATTCTTTTTGCAGTGATCAATCAATGGTTAAATCGCAAGATACTCTGTGCTTTTCATTACTCTTCCTCTATAAGTTGATCTTTGATTGATTTATTATTGATTTTTACATCTACCTCCACATGTGATGCAAAATTGTTAAAATAAGTCCTTATGCCGCCTCAACTTCGGGTGATTCTTGATTGTTGAAAAGGAACACCCTGCAGGCTAAAACTAACTTCATATCAATTAATCTTTTATGTGCTGTCAAATTTAGAAATGAAAAGTTGGAGCCAATTACGATTGCATTTTATCAATTTTTGCTTATCTTGTCCATTAGGGACAATTAGGGACCTTGCTTCCAATTATTCTCATCTATGAATTACAATGCTAGCATTCGTCGTAATGTATCCAATGCACCAATTCTAATTAAGTCCTGAGGTGATAATTATCTGTTTTTTACCTGGAGTTTGGGTAATGATTCTCTGTTCAGCTTATGCCAAATGAGATCTGGGTAATTATGGTATATGAAACTGCATCCCAACATTTTGGAAGGTGCATCAATCGGGCACCGAGTCGAGTTCCTAAGCTGGTATTTCAATTACAAAGCTATCAATTGTGGAGAATAAATGGCTAGTGGACGCACTAGAAACTGAAATTAGGTGATAAATGAAGTCTGAATATAGCCTCTAATGCTTGTCTGTGCATCCGCATATGGAATCTCAAGTTCTTGTTAGTGGAAGACAAATGTATCTTTGGATAAAATTTAATCTCTTTAGTATTTCAGAAGTAAGTCTTTTAGCAAGAAGCATGTGGTGATTGGGATTATAAGAGCACTGTTATGAGGCATGCAACCAAGAAATTATTATATACATATAGTGATGGAAAAATTTATAACTGAGATACAGGAAATGCCAAGAGCTGATCAGGATAAGGGTTCATGCTTTGGTTAGATGAATAAAATGCCATTTTCCATCAAGCATACTAGGTTTTTAAAGTTATCTTGAAACATGTGACTACCATTACCTCTGCAATCATAATTTGAATATGCCCGTACCTTTGAGGTGCTGCTTGAGTGGCAAGTGACCATATGCTCAACACGGGATGGTCAGTTTTTGAGTCATGAGGGATAAACAAGGGTGAATCGCTAAATGCTAGGCGAAGACTGTCCCTTAGGCAGTTTGTAAGATTTATGACCTGTAACAATTTAACAAATTATAAGCTTTTGTTTATTTTTTCGTAAACTATATAGGCCGCTTCTCATCTTCTCTCTTTACATTTGTTGATGTAAAATTTGTTGTAGTGGAGGGATATCATGTCACGTGCTCTTTTAAAAGGCTTATAACCAGGGCCGTGCACCTAGATCATAGCCTCATTGGACTTTTTCCTTTTTTGCCTTGTTTTCTTAACTCTTTCTGAAATGGATATCATTGTATTGTCATTGCGATCCTAAATGTGTAAATTATTGTTATAAACTTTATCAGGAGGCCTGGTGAGGACAGTGATGCTGAGTCTTCAAGGGAGACAAGCAGCGCTGGTAGCAGTGATTGTGAAACAGAAAAGCGAGGCAGAGGGAGTATTGATGGTCCATTGATGCAGCACAACCGGATAAATGTTAATTCTCAGAGGCTGAGCAGACTAAGTTTGAGAGATAGACCGCCATTGAGTTCTTCAAGCGATGAAACTGAGGTCTGCATCTATCCAGGGCAGCTTGTATTTGAATATTTTGAACGAGAACAACCACATTTTCGTCCACCTGTTTATGACAAGGCAAGTCCGTTCTTCAAGGTTTTAATGGATTTTTTTTTTTAATGTTCTGATCTGGACACTTCTGATTTCTTTTTGTTCCTTAGGTTACTAGTCTTGCCTCCCACTTTCCAGATCTAAAGAAGTACAGAAGCTGTGATCTATTGCCTTCAAGTTGGTTTTCAGTGGCTTGGTAGGTGTAAATGATGTTCTGTTGTTGCTGTTGTGGTTATTCCTTGTTCGTTATTTGTTGTGTTGATGAATTGAACGTCGGTTCAGGTATCCAATTTATAGAATACCTGTTGGCTCAACGCTAAGAAGTTTGGATGCATCGTTCTTAACCTTCCATTCCTTATCAACTCTTTCAAGAAGTATGTTTATCTTATTCATTCTGAGAAGAAATACACACTCATTGAAGCTATTCCCTTTCATTACCCTTGAATCCGTTTCTTTCTAACTGGTGCAGGCAAATTTCAACCACAATTTAATGCTTCTGGTGCCAAGAAGATCCGTGGTGTTGGTGCAAAGGTTTCTCTTCCGGTTTTTGCCCTTGCTTCCTATAAGTTGAGAGGTTCAATTTTCACTCCTGACGGAGGCTCTGAGTGGCAGCAAGCGAACTCTTTGTCACAGGCTGCTGACAATTGGCTGCAGCGGTTGCAGGTTAAACTTCCTGATTTCCAGTACTTTATAAGCCATAGCTCGCAATGGAGATGATAAGGGAAGCTTTGAGTTCAAAAGTTCTTCCGCATTTTAGAGAAACCCGCATTGGTGTTGGACGGAATATGTTGAAAACTTACTCTCTTACTAACCATCTTAATTCAGCCTCTTGTTATAATTATGGTAGTTTTCTTGATAAAAATTGCAGTTCACGACACAGGATGGAACGAGTTGCCAGCAGTGGTTGGAATTTAAAGTCATTTGATTTTCCGACCATATTATATTGGAGCCTACGAAATCCATGAAAGGCTCGTAGCAATACAAATCTGTAATTCTATTTGCTTAATGATTCAGGCATGATACAACTACTACTATAGGCACATTGATATTTTATAAGGCCCCTCTTTTTAAGTCTGCCTGGGGCAGTTCAAACATACACAGCCCTGGTATAAGGAGTATATGACTGTACTACTCATTGTTCTGTGATTTATTTACATTGACAAGAATTAAGAGAGACTTTCTTGACCTTTTAAAGCGCATAGACGCGCCGCCGCATTTGACACAGGGTTTTTCTCAGAAGCTCTGATGCTCTAAACGACAGGTGTTGGTGGTGGTGGTGGTGGTGGAGGGAAATCAAATGGCAAGGCAGTGAATTCAACTAAGTCATTCAAGGTAACATCTAATTAGTCCACATATGAATGGAATTGTTCTTGCCAAGGTAGATCGAGAGATGTCCAGTCCAAATCTGCCGCCTCATGGCGCTTCATCTCATCTTCACATTACCAGATATTGGTTGAACTCATGTTAATAGTGGGAATGAAAGATGTCTTCTTCCGGTGATGGGAGTTAAAAAAAAAAAAAATTTGCCCACGTGTATCTAATAAAACAATTATTCTTCTAGCATCCTGTGGCACAGAATCAGGACAAGGCTCCCTGGGATGAAAGATGACTTGATTTCTCTTCTTTTCTTTTCTTTTTTTTTTATTTACCATTTAAGATTACGGGATTTCGATGCTCCAGATTTTACATGGAATTTGTTTTACCCATCTGGGATCTCCTTTACTGGTCCAAGAGTTGATTTTTTTTTTGTGGGGACTGACCAAGAGTTGAGATTATCGGACAGCCAATCTATGAAATAACTGAAATTGAGGGAATCAGGACTCGTTAAATAACTCGAACCAAACCGGAGAGCCCTGGAGAAAGGACAAGTCAAACAAATGATCTCGACTTTCAGGGTTTCACGTCTTTCTCGCCGAACATAGGAGTCATCTGTCTATAGATGAAGCTCGATCGTTGTGCTCTTTTTTTTCTCTTTTGAACAGTAGTTAATGTACTTCTACGAAGAGTATTCCCTAAAAGACGCCAATTGATACTCATATATTCTGAAAATTTATTAATGCTGATATTAATATATTATAATAAAGGGTGCACTAGATTTACTTTTCATTTCTCTTCCCTAGATTTTACTGATGTAGGGGGTGTTTGGAACACACTATAATTACTTTTCAGAAATACTTTTTTACAAATCGAGACAAACTCCTCCATATATTTGCTTCGTATACTGTAAAAGCACTTCAGAAACCATAGTTTTGTTCTTATCTAAACACCTCCGTAGTTGTTTAATAGTAGAAGAGTGGTTTTGATAAAAAGGATTATTCAATAGTCTCTGTTCTAGTTCAAGGTAAAAAAAAAAAAAGTCTTGTGTTCTAGTAAAATTTAATTTAATGATATTTAACTAAAATACTCTTAATTTAAGTGTTCTCCTTTTTTTTGCCAACGAATTTAAATATTCTCATAAGTATACTATTTTAGTATTTATTTCGTCAAAGTGAATATTCTATTATCATTAACGTTTTATTAAATTTTAAAATGACAAATATTTTAAAATATTAGGAAACTCAGGGTGACCATTTGTTTTGGGGGCATGAGGTATAATTACAGTCAGTGAATCAGCAGTCCCCTTGTCATACGGATAAACCGAATAAGGTCAAGGCAGCATTCGCTATTCCATGCATCCACAGGCACAAAGCGGCTCCCACCTTGTTCAGGAAAACCTTATCCCGAAACTTGCAGAATAAGGCGACAACTGTAGCATTCAGAAGTCTCTATACTCCCAAGTCCAAGGTGCCTTTCCCTTTTTATTCGCTCCCAAACATTTATTTTATGTTTCTTGATACTGCCTACGGCGCGTGGCGCCGATTTTCTGATTCATTGTAAACTTGTTTTGGCCACCATAGCTGATCATTATTCCGTGTCAATTTAATTAAACTTCGTGGTTTTTTCCCCCCAATTCTGCGCAATCCACTGTCACCTCAAACATTTTTCGTACTGTCCTTTTAGAATTTAGGGCCTTGACGTTTGCGTCTGAAACGGAGGACGCGCACGAACGAGAATAACTCTTTAGTCTTTACTTTTTGGGAGTTGTTAAACAGAGGAGAGCGTGAAGTTTTACATCCAGATTCGAATGGATTCTTATGTGGAGAAGAAACATAGGAATTTATACAAATGGAAAGTAATGGGTGTATGATATCTCCTCCTTACTCGTATATTCCTCTTCTGCTTGACTGCCTATATTAAACTTGGGCTAAATGAGAGGAGGCCTGTTGGAAGAGTTAATGCATGATATGCTGCCTTCTGAGTTTACTCTGTCCGAGGTTAGCAGATTGTTACGTCGGATTGGGACCTGTGGGAAATGATGCATAAAAGTTAAGGTGTATCCGCTGAAAACTGTCATTGGTCTATCTGCCGGGATCGGGAAATCTCACTGCATTGTTCGATTGTGATGGCAAGTTTGACTAGTAAATTATCGCAATTGTAAATCTATCAACTCATAACAATCTTAGACTATCTATCTCACAACCTGACATTGATTCATTCTTAAATTTTGTTCAGCAAGGCTGTTATCTGCTTTCAATTTTCGTACCCGATAACATCGTGTTAATTGAGTGAGAACTTGTTTTTGTGTAGAAGTTTATTTGAAGAGCTAAGCTGTTATAATACGCGACATTTTGTTTATGTACTAATGAATTAATGTTAATGTAGTGATGTAGTTTATGGAGCAATGTGGGATGCATAAGTAAACTATGTGCAGAGAAGGCGCTGCAACCTTGTTTTAGTTTACCGTCCAAGAATTATATTCTCTGACTAAATTTGAGGCCTTCTCTTGACGTACATGATAATTAGGGTTGGATAATGATTCAAGTTCTCCGATTCTGGCTTTACCTCTCATTTTCTGTGCCGTGTAAAGGTATTTGAATGGCACACCTAGTTCAGAACTTTAAGCATTGATTATTTCTTTATTTCTGTTTTCAACTGTGTATCTATAACATGAATTTGATGCCAAAGGATACCTATGTAATTTAGCTTCAAAGTCTTGTCTTTAACCAATCGATTAAAAATTTTGAAATTTTATCTAATTTATTATTTTTAGTGCACTCTCACTTTCAGTGCTTGATAATAATTCTCATTGTGTATCTTGCGCTCTAGAAACATGGGCGTCGAAGCCCAAAACAGTAAAGAACGGCTAAGAACAATTTGGACGCCTGAAATGGATCGGTATTTCATTGGTCTGATGTTAGAGCAGGTTGGCAAAGGAAATAAATTGGATGATCATCTGTTCAGCAAAAGAGCATGGAAGCACATGTCCGCAATGTTCAATGCAAAGTTCAAATCTCAGTATGAAAAAGACGTTCTAAAAAATCGCCACAAAACATTAAGGAATTTGTATAGGACCGTTACAAAGCTTCTTGCCCAGACGGGGTTTAGCTGGGACGAAAAGCGAAAAATGGTGACCGCTGATAATAATGTTTGGGATGAATACATCAAAGTAATGAAAAATTGAATCTTGTGTTTAGTTCTTTTCTCTTAATCTTATAAAGGTTTTCAATTATTAATTATTTTTTGCTTGATAATGGCAGGTACATCCGGATGCCCGATCTTATAGAATAAAAAGCATTCCCTACTTTAGTGACTTGTGTACTATTTATGGACGCGCACTGACTGCAGAAAAAGGTAATTCAGTGATTGTGTTTTGTTGTTGATGTTGTTGAGGACTAATATAACTATGGTTGATCCTTAGAAGGTCTGGAATATGTTCCAATGTATGGTGATTATGAATATGAATCTTAGATGATAAGGAATCAAATAGGTCGTCGAATTCCAGGTGATGATGGAGCCACCATGGCCATACAATCTAACAGTGTCGGTGAGGATACTGGTGAGGTTTTCCAAGATACAAAGGTTGCAGAAAACCTTGGAGTTTCTATACCGGAAAATGCAAACGATGATTTTGAGCTAAGTTTGTCAAAGGCTTGTACCCGTTCTCGCACTTATTGGCAGCCACCAATGGACCATTATCTTATTAACTTGATGCTTGCCCATGTGCACAAAGGAAACCGGGTTGATGGTGCATTCAGCAAGCAAGCATGGATGGAGATGATTTCATCATTCAATGAAAATTTTGGCTTTGACCATAGTGTAGAGATTCTTAAAAATCGATACAAAACTCTGAGAAGGCAGTATAATGTTATTAAAAGTCTACTTCATTTGGATGGGTTTGTCTGGGATGATGCACGGCAGATGGTTACTGCTGATGATTATCTCTGGCAAGATTACATCAAGGTATACACCTACTATAGAAATCTATTAGGAATATCAATACTCAATTAGTAAATGATTACATTGGCATAGGGAATCATCTGTGTGGTTTTATTTATCAATTCCCTCTCTTTGATGATATTATTGGGCTTGGATTCAGTAATACAGCAATTTACCAAGGCCCAACCCCCTGGTTCTAGGTACTTCTTTCTTACTCTTCTGTTGGTCAGCTTTTTCGTGCAATGTAAAACAAAGTAAAACGAACTTAAAATTCTTTGAAAAATGTAAAGCTTCAAGGGTGTGCATGTTAATAAAAGTGGAAGTGGATTGGAAAAAAGTAGGAACATGGCAAAAATGCCTACATCCATTCCCCTTTGACAGTGCATATTTACTTAATTTTTCTGGATGAAAAATGAAAGACAAATTCATTTTCCTACTGAGAAAGCATGTAATGGGATCCTCATTGCTAAATGCTAACTGCATTTTTACCAAGAGAGTTTAAGCAATAGTAATGCTTATAATGATAATATATTAGTCTTTATGTGGACAAGGTTTAAAGACCATTGAAATGATTACATGCAGGTGCATCCTGATGCGCGGCAGTTTATGACCCGACCTGTGCCATATTTTAAGGATTTGTGTGTGATATATGACCCCACTTTTGATGAAAAGGAATCTCCGCGTCAAGATTTGGATCCGCAAAATTCAGTTGCAGATGTGAGTATGGAGCCATCTGAAATTGGTCTATCTCCAGCAGCATCTAATTATATTGAATACCATGATGGTAATGTGAGTGACTTAACACATACTAGTGAGAAACATAAGCGCCAATTAGAGATCGATTCCACTTGCCCCAAAAGATTAAGGGACGTTGAAGTAGGCATGGCTAGCACTCTCCAGGAGATGGCAACTACTGTTTCTTCTCTGTCAACAAAAAAGAGTGATGATAACTCAGTACCGATAGAGATTGTGATAGAAGCAGTACAAGCATTGCCTGATATGGATGAAGATCTGGTTTTGGATGCCTGCGATTTTCTGGAGGATGAAAAAAAAGCAAGAACTTTTCTAGCGCTGGATGTTAAGCTGCGAAAGAATTGGTTGCTTCGGAAACTTCGGACGTAAGCTTAGCTCGTGGCCCCATACCTTTCATCTCTTCTTTCAAGCACTTGACAGTTAGCATTGTTCTGTTATCCATGCCCTTTCTTAACAGGCTTAGCTTATACCTTGAGTGATACCCATATTTGTGGGGTAAAATTGGAGCTAAGATTAGCTCGTATGTTCATAGAAGGGTTCAGAAAGTCCTTGCATTATTAACCTAGTATTTGTCAGGGTTTATGTGTTTCTGAAATAATGTCGTAATCATTATTATTACTATTATTATTAATCTCGTACAACTGCTACTCTTTTTCTGAAACCTTGTTCTCCTTTCATATTGCTTTTAAGTTGGATTCTATCGTGTTGAAGAGCGACGGATAAACCAAGTTCAATGTCTGGGTGTATATTTTCAATTATATACTATTTTCATCTTTAATATAAGAGCTAATTGGTTATGTGAGTAAATTAAAAAAGTTTTTTAAGTTAGTTATTTGTAATAAGTAAGTGATTTATTTTAAGAATATCTTTGCTGAGGTGTACTTTAGTTAGATCTATCATTTAATGGAATATTTAATGTGTATAACTATTATAAGGATTATTTTTAAAAAAATAAATAATATAAGAGAAAAAGTATATTGTGATGTTATATTTATAATCAAACTAGCTATTTTGTTAAGTAGGGGAGGTAGTACATATGATTTATTTTTTTTAACTAGAAAGTACATATGAGTGATATAAGAGAATTCATTCATGATTTTTTTTTGGGGCTTAAAATCATATATATGTAATGTGATGTTTGATTTAGAGGCGTAAATATTTGAAATTTAACGAGGTGGGAGGCTATAGGTGTCTGCGAATTTGAAGATCGTTATGAATTCGCTGCCCACCTACAGGCTGTTAATGTGCCGTAGCTCTATTCTGCCTGGCTTCATAGATCCAAGATATGCCCTTTTTAAAAAAAAACAAAATTTCTTTGCCATCTTTTAAAAACAAAATTGAATTCAAGATATGCCTCTCATTTTAAACTTGGAACTTAAAGTTCATAAAATGTTTCATCTCATGAATGGGGAAAAAATTAAAGTCAAAACACAACTTCTGCTTTGCTTGCCATTCAAATTTGACATGTGATTATTGAATACTATTCATCTTTAGCACTTAAATCACTCAGATTATTATGATCAAAAGGTGGAATCAGAATTTTTTTTTTCGTAATAATTTTAATCAAAGAGCAACAACTTTTACAATTTTTTTTTTTGAAAAAAATGTAAAACAAATAAGCAAACGACCAAAGCGGAAAGTGGGAAGATAAGTAAAGAGTAGACAAAAGCAGTTCCTTTGCCTTGCCCGTCCGATGGAAACGCCTTAATTATCCAGCATTGTCTTTATTAATATTTTTTTATTTTCAAAAAAGGAAAACCGAAAGGCATCGAAGTTCGTTCAGTTTATTAGACCGTTGAAGTTAAATGCCCTTTTGACTTTTCTCGTGACGTGCAGGGACCACATAAATCAAACGGACATCTTCCGTCAGCAAGCCCCTGCATGATCTCATCCAATCAACGGTCCAGATCAGTCGAACGTTACAATGAAATCGCAGGCGACCCTTTTTTCCATTAAATTCAAATTCTACCGTTGCCCCATATCACAATTCACAAGCTGTTCTTATCCCTCTTCTTCCCCCTCCCTCTTCCCTGTTCGATCATCGTTCACTTCAATATTCCCACCAATTCGTTATGGGCATTTGATTGACGATTCGTGTTTTATCATCACTTCATTTTGTTTATTCTCGCCCATTCACTCTCCTATTTTGGACTCGGAGACAATTTCTCCGGCAAAGATGGTCAAAACACCTGCTTCTCCTTCCTCCTCTCCGGTGACCATAACTGTGTCATCGGCGGGCAAAGGAAGTGGAAGTAGAAGTATGGGTCTAACCAGTCCTGTTCCACGTGCTTCAGTGTCGAACAATCCAAATTCCCCTCTTAGTGGCAGAGGAAACAGAGCTTCCCTTGGCGGAAGGCGAGCATCAGGCGGCGGTAATTGCTGCTCAATGTCGAAAGACGATGCGATGGAAGAACTCAGTTCTGAATATGTGACATACACTGTTCATATACCTCCCACCCCTGAGCGCCAGACCTTGTCATCCTCACAGACTAGCCTAACCGAGGACGCCAAGATTTTGGGAAAGCCTGATAGAAGTTACATTTCAGGTACACTCTTTACAGGAGGATTCAATTCGGTGACCCGAGGGCATGTGATTGAATGCTCCGTGGAAGGAGAGGAGCCTGTGAAATCTGGGCCAGTTTGTGGAATGAAAGGTTGCGATGAGGAAGCAATGAATGGCAAGTCCGGTGGTCCTTGCGAGTGTGGGTTTAAGATTTGCAGAGATTGTTATTTGGAGTGCGCTGGAAATGGAGGAGGTCGATGTCCTGGTTGCAAAGAACCTGTTAAGTATATAAGTGACGATGAAGAGGAGCAGATATCTGAAGAAGAAGACCAGGCTCTGCCATTACCTTCTATGGCAGAATTCAAGTTGGATAAGAGGCTTTCGGTTGTGAAATCGTTTAAAGCGCAAAACCATCCCCCTGACTTTGATCACACTCGTTGGCTCTTTGAAACAAAAGGAACATATGGGTATGGCAATGCTGTGTGGCCCAAAGACGGGTATGGCGCCGGATCAGGTGCTAACGGATTTGAGAACCCACCAGATTTCACAGAGAAAACCAGGAAACCTTTAACAAGGAAGGTCGGAGTTTCAGCTGCGATTCTTAGTCCATACAGGTAAGTCCCAATGCTTAGCTCTCCGCGTACTTCAAATATTTCTTGACAATTCTTATTTTGAGTAGAGTTCAAATGGTAGCAGTTAATACTTTAATTGGATTTTTGTTTTTATTTGGAAGTCGGGGTCCGATATTGAGAGCCCGAATTTCATTTTAAAGAGTGCTAATGAAGCCCAATTAGTTTCTGGTCATGCTCATATGTATGCAACCTATCTATTTCAGATTACTTATTCTGATGCGTCTTGCTGCACTCGGTTTATTTCTTACTTGGAGGATTCGCCATCCTAACCGCGAAGCAATGTGGCTGTGGGGAATGTCCATTACTTGTGAGCTCTGGTTTGCATTTTCATGGCTACTTGACCAGCTCCCTAAACTCTGCCCTGTGAGCAGAGTTACTGATCTCTCTGTACTGAAGGAGAGATTTGAGTCCCCAAACCTCCGTAACCCTAAAGGGAGATCTGATCTTCCAGGGATCGATGTTTTTGTTTCTACAGCAGACCCAGAAAAGGAGCCTCCTCTTGTCACGTCAAATACCATTCTTTCAATCCTAGCTGTTGATTATCCAGTGGAGAAGGTTGCATGTTACTTGTCTGATGACGGTGGATCTTTATTGACCTTTGAAGCTCTAGCTGAGACTGCCAGCTTTGCAAGAATATGGGTTCCTTTTTGTCGAAAGCACCAGATAGAACCCCGAAATCCTGAAGCATATTTCGGGCAGAAGGGTGATTTTCTGAAGAACAAGGTACGGCTAGACTTTGTAAGGGAGAGGCGAAAGGTGAAGAGAGAATATGATGAATTTAAAGTGAGAATAAATTCTCTGCCAGAATCAATAAGGAGAAGATCCGATGCTTACAATGCTCACGAGGAGCTGCGAGCAAAAAAGAAACAGATGGAATTGGGTACCAATGTTTCCGAACCCATTAAGGTTCCCAAGGCAACATGGATGTCCGATGGTTCTCATTGGCCAGGAACTTGGGCATCAGCAGAACCGGATCACTCAAGGGGGGACCATGCCGGTATAATTCAGGTGGTTTAAATTCTTTATATAACTCATCTACATAATGCTTGGTGTTGTGTGTGTGTGTGTGTGTGTGTGTGTGTGTGTGTGTGTGTGTAGAACGAAGGCACTAAATTTCATCTTTTTCCGCAGGCTATGTTAGCTCCGCCAAATGCAGAACCGGAATATGGTGCAGAAGCAGATGGACAGAACTTGATCGATACAACAGCGATTGATATTAGGTTGCCGATGCTCGTCTATGTATCTCGTGAAAAGAGGCCAGGATATGATCACAACAAGAAAGCTGGGGCCATGAATGCTCTAGTACGCACTAGTGCTATAATGTCGAACGGACCATTTATTCTGAATCTTGACTGTGATCATTACATACACAACTCATTAGCTCTTAGAGAAGGCATGTGCTTTATGCTTGACAGGGGTGGTGATAGGATATGCTACGTTCAATTCCCACAGAGGTTTGAGGGTATTGACCCCAGTGACCGATATGCAAACCACAATACTGTGTTCTTTGATGTGAGTATGAGAGCTCTCGATGGCTTACAAGGTCCAATGTACGTGGGTACAGGCTGCATTTTCAGGAGAACAGCTATTTATGGGTTTAGCCCTCCTAGAGCCACAGAACATCACGGATGGCTTGGGAGGAAGAAAATTAAATTGTTTCTGAGAAAGCCCAAGAGGTCAAAGAAGGAAGAAGATGAAATAGCTCTCCCGATCAATGGTGATCCTAATGATGACGACGCGGATATTGAGTCTTTGCTTCTTCCCAAAAGGTTTGGAAACTCTACTACCCTCGCTGCATCGATCCCTGTGGCAGAATACCAGGGCAGGTTGCTTCAAGATGTGCAAGGACGAGGAACACAGGGAAGGCCAGCAGGTTCTCTTGCAGTGCCACGAGAACCATTAGATGCTGCAACTGTTGCAGAGGCAATAAGTGTGGTATCCTGTTTCTATGAGGACAAAACTGAGTGGGGCAAGCGAGTAGGATGGATATACGGCTCTGTAACAGAGGACGTGGTGACTGGTTACCGTATGCACAACAGAGGGTGGAGATCTGTGTACTGTGTGACGAAAAGGGATGCTTTTCGCGGAACAGCGCCAATCAATCTGACAGACAGGCTCCACCAAGTGCTCCGATGGGCCACAGGGTCCGTTGAGATCTTCTTCTCAAGGAATAACGCCTTATTTGCAAGTCCTAGAATGAAGTTTTTGCAGAGGGTGGCATACTTCAATGTGGGAATGTATCCTTTCACCTCGATGTTTCTGCTAGCCTATTGCTTTCTTCCTGCGGTCTCTCTCTTTTCGGGGCAGTTTATAGTGCAATCCCTCAGCGTAACCTTTTTGGTGTTCTTATTGGCCATCACACTGACACTGTGCTTGCTTGCACTTCTGGAGATCAAATGGTCAGGAATCACTTTACATGACTGGTGGCGGAACGAACAATTCTGGTTAATTGGAGGGACAAGTGCCCATCCTGCTGCTGTGTTACAGGGCTTATTGAAGGTGATAGCAGGAGTAGACATATCATTCACTCTGACCTCAAAGTCTGCCACTCCAGAAGATGGAGATGATGAGTTTGCAGATCTCTATGTGGTGAAATGGAGCTTTCTAATGGTCCCTCCAATTACAATCATGATGGTGAACATGATTGCTATCGCTGTTGGTGTAGCCAGGACAATGTACAGCCAGTTCCCACAATGGAGCAGACTGGTGGGAGGCGTCTTCTTTAGTTTCTGGGTCTTGTGCCATCTCTATCCGTTTGCAAAGGGGTTGATGGGGAAGAGAGGGAAGGTTCCGACCATTGTTTATGTCTGGTCTGGATTGCTTTCAATTATCATCTCCTTGCTTTGGGTGTACATAAACCCCCCTGCTGGAGCACAAGACTACACGAAATTCCAGTTCCCTTAGATTGGAGGAAGACGGAGTTCCTCTATACTTGTGCCACTTGTGCCAATGTGCGCCATTCTTTATCAACTTACGTAGATGAGAGTTATGCTGTATTAATTCCGTAGTGTGATTATCTTGCCTTGTGCAATTACAGTTGATGATGTGTGTAGGACCACTGTCTACAGTAGACCGCTGTCTATATCGATATCGAAGAAAAGTCATATATTTTCTTCTTTCGTCAGTTCGCTTCATTCCTTTGACTATTTGTATTCCATGCTACAAATTATCTCGGGCTATTAATGTTCATTTTTAATTTTTAAAATGTTCATAAACTATTCAAGACTCAGAGCGTCAAAGAATTCAGGGGGTGTTTGACAAAATCAAAACCTAGATTTCAGAATCACTTTTCCGCAAAACGAGGCAATCTCCTCCACATATTTACTTCGTAATCCGTAAAAGCACTTCTGAAACCATGGTTTGGTTTCTATCCAAACACCCCTTCAGTCTCCAAAGGCTTTTGTCTGGGGTACGCTTATTTGTATCATCAGGGGAAAAAACCTAAAGTTAATTTAATAATTTAAAACAAAAGCGTTCAACATGATTTAAGGAAACTGGTTTCACGAACAACCAACGTTTATTGTTAAAACGATTTATAATGCCTCCTAATTTAAAAGGAACCTACCGAGTATGGTTTTATAATAGTAATTTTTTTGCCAGCTTTATCATAGTGATTTAAATGTCAATGAAACCGTGAGAGATACAGCATAGTTGGCAAATAATTATGTCAAAATAGAATAAGATTGTTTTTTTTTTTTAAATGAGATGTTTTAATGTAATAATTATTTTAAAATTTAAATTAATGAGATACAATATAATTGGCAGATAGTTGTGTGACTCACTGTCAGTCAGGGGATTTTTTTGTTTTTTAAGGTTATCGTGCCCTCTATTTGGGCTGCATCCCAAACTTCCAAGTGATGGGCCTTTGTCTCAACGACTAGAACAAAGGCATGAGAAAAGGTTCGGCCTTTTAACACGCGCTTATCCAGAATTGACCCCATCAAATCAGAGATTAAAGCACAAATTCTCACTCATAAGTGCACGGGGCGCATCATAATCATACAAGGCACAATTTTAAACTCCTAATTTACACGAAACGTATAAGGGCAGCATGTTCATTGATTAACCAGGTGCCTAACTTTTTACGGCTTGCATGAAATTGGGAAACATGTTCATTCTTTATTTTATGATATTCTTGGCATTCGTTAGAAATGTGTGTTTTAAATAAGATGGTGTGATGGATTATATAATAGTGCAGTGTACGCGCCACCGGAGACGATCTGTTCGTCAAGAACTTGTCGTCTGAAACGAGTAAGCTCAGCCCTGTCCAAGCAAACAAGGCTGAAAAGGCAATTAAATCATCCCCCTCTCTCACTAATCTCTGGAAAAAGCTTCTCGTATATTATTGACCTGAACAGCTGGGGAAAAAGAAAAATGAGCCGGCCGGAAATAGGAAAATTGCTGACTTAAAGATGCCCAATGCCAGACAAAAGTAAGATGGTCTTGATTTCTTGTGTGGATTATTACAGAGAATTAAATAATATGTGAGTGTGCGTGCGTGCGTGCGTGTGTGTGTGTGAGAGAGAGAGAGAGAGCATATATATTTCAGGTGGAGAAGAGAGCGGAGATTTAGTTAGGCGGAGGGAGAGGGGGAGCAGGGCGGTGGGGCGACGCCACGAGGAGGGAGTTGTAGATGTGAAGGATCATGTTGCGATCATACTCCTTGACGGAGGTCTTGCCGAAGGCTACCACGGCGTCGGCTCCGGTCATTCCCCTCACTCCCGACGTTGCCAATCCCATCATCATCCTCGTGTAGGCGTCTCTCAGCCACAGCACCATCTTCTTAGCCCTCCCTGAGATTCTGGTGATTCGGACCTTGGGGCCCGCCCTCATCCTCCAGAATCGCCCGCCCCACACCTTCCTCCTCCTCCTCCCATTCAACCTCTGGTACCTTCTCCTGCTCCAGTAGTCCCTCCATCCCTTTACCACGCTCCCACAAACGCCTTTCATGCGTGGCTTTTTGCCCCCAGCAGGTCGAGTTGAGGTTAATTGGGTGTGTATTTATATGGCTTAAAATTACAGAAACAGCTAGTGTGGGCGAGCATTGAATGAAGGGGAGGCGTGTAGGTAAGGATTTCGGTCTCCGTGATGAGTGGGAGTCTTGACGTCCTCTCTTGGTTGGCATGGTGATTTAATTTATGGCCCATTCGGCTCCCAATGTTGACGATGTTCTTGAACAAGTCACTCGGTACTCAAGGCTCATAAATAAACAAGGAGAATCTATTCAGATGCAGGAGGGCCACCGAGGGATGGACGCAGATAATTAATAAAGGTTGGCAGAGGAAATACGAGCATTACTTGGGAGCTGTTGGTGGTTGTGTGTGGTTTGACTATGGCGAGTGACACGGGCAATCAGATAAGTGGAAGAATCCTCGAATTGGATAGGGATTTATGAAGCTTCAAGTGTAGCCTTGGCCTCTTTTCATTTTGGGTGGGTGGGCATCCATTCCGTTCACGGCTGTTCAATGAGTTAGGTATCAAGTGCCTCCACAAATTAACTCCTCTACTCATCAATATTGGAATTGGTCACTGCTGCTTAACTTTCCAATGGATTCACGTCGCCCCCGCTATTTATTCTCTCTTGCACGCTTATATAATTAACATATACTACATCAGTTGGGTTCATGTCTCTCTCACACCTCCCTTTCTCCAACTTTATCTCCTGCCCACTCACTCTCCATTTTAACTAAACTGTCCGTCCTTTGTTGATGGTTGACTAATTAAAACGTTTTAAGGAGCATTTTGTAGTTGAGAGTGGAGTTACTGATACTATATAATTATACACCGGGTTTGCAACAAGAGCAGCAAACAACATTTATGAACTTTTGTAATTAAGGTCTTTCTAAAGCATATGTTTGGTCCCTAACATACGTTCCAGAAATTCTCGAGATTATTATTCGTGATTTTTTTTTTTTTTTAAGCCGAAAAGTCGTTTGTCTGTCCTGTAATGGTTGACATTGAGGATGAAAGATCAGGCGGGCCGTGTGCAGATGGGAAGGGTGAAAGGGACCTAATTCTAAACCAGCGATCTTCATAAATGCTGCTCTTTCTGGTTCCATGCTTCCCTCTATGTCCTTAGCCTCTCCCTTCGATTTTCAGGCTTCCTTGCACTCACATGATCTTTGGAACTAACCACCGTGACTCCCCGACTGCGTGCTCACCCGTCACCATCACGACACTTGTCATCTCAGTAACATATATCGCAACAACACAGCACACGACGGTGAAATACCCAGCCACGTCCAGGTGATTCGCATTCAATTTAACAAAAATGGAGGATGCGTATTGCATCCATTCCTTCTTCCCCCCCCCCCAAAAAAAAACCCACAAAAGGCCAACGATGGATTAATTTATAATGTTGTATTCAGTCTTGGGCTTAGTTGTTCTCAGATCCACTTGTCTGTGACTCGGATGTCCAATTGGTAGACCCATTGAATCGCACGTGATTTGGGCTGGTCTTCAGCTTCCACATATATCTTAGTTGAAACTGTCCAGTTTATATGCAAGCTCATGCTATGGTACCCTACCCACACACACACACAAAAAAGAAAAAAACAGACAGAGAGAGAGGAGTAATTTTTTACTTTTAATAAAAAGAAAGAATATATGACGTGTTCGCCGGCAAAACATGGCGAAAGGCTTCTCCGGTCAATCCGCGCACTTCCTTGCCAACTGTTTGTGGCACTTCAATAACTGCGAATAACTTAATTGTTCATCAAGATAATTCTGCCCCCAGAACCAGAAGATAAAAGCACTCAATATGCTGGTAAAAAAAAAAAAAGGAAAAAAAAAAGCACTCAATATGAGAAGTAAAATTCCATATTAAAACCAAGGACATCTATACATCCATTGGAGCACTCCATCATCCTCAAAAGTCTTCGCCCCGAAGAGTCCTAAGAACCCTTGAATGGGGTGCATCGGGGTCACCACGCATAGCATTCTGTCTCCATATCTCTGTAGCCCTCCTGAGCGCCTCCTCCGCCGTGTCCAGCTGCTCCGGCAGCCAACCAATCACATCCCTACCTGCTCCAGAGTTGGCGGTCCCATCCGTCGCCCGCGCAAACGGCTTCCGGGAATCTGCGAACTCTAATTCCGACAAGGGTGACGCTTTGTGATGTTTATAGTATTCTCTTTCATCCTCCAGCTTTTCCGCCCTGTTCCTCTCATCCTTTCCACTGTCCTTCGGCCAGGGGCTTCCATCGAGACCCGCACAGCTCGCGTCTTCAGAGGCTTTGGATCCCTGCTTCCGCTTTTGCTGAAACGTTGGATCCAATCGCTGGTTCACCCCGTTACTCTTCAGTTTTGCCGAAGATTCATACGGAGATTTGGGAGTTTCGAGAAACTCGTCTTCTTTGGGTTCGTGCTCTGTTTCCGCAAATTTGGTATTTCTTGAGCTCTTAATCCCCTGCAATACTCATAGACACATTTAACATCAGAGTCTCAGCGCACAATGGAAAAGGTAGAAAAAAATTGAAGCAATCACGTTGATAGGAAATGAATCAAATGGTTACTTGGGGTTCTCCTTTGTGAACCGCAGGGCCGGCTTCTCGTTCACCAGAATGAATGGCGGGGTCGGCGGTCTGACCGCTAGAGGCAGCGCAAAATCGTCGCTGGAGATTACGACGATAGACTGCAGACAACATACGAATTGAAGTCCTAGCTGTCGTGTCCAATAACCTTGACTGCATGTCGTTGCTTTCTGAATTGTTCTGCTTTCAAGACTCTTAAAATTGGACTGGATAGCATGCGATAGCTTGCGAAGTGATAAAGCCCGGATGACTTAGAAATAGGGCGCGAGGTACTTTCTCGAGTGTACTGGACACGTGCCTGAAACGTTTGACGTGGCAACGTCTCTGTCGTCACGGTGTACTTTGCGTGCTGGCTTCCCATTGGTCAAGGACCCCTCTAGAAAAACAGCGCAGAAAGCGGTGCGCTTGTGCTTTTCTTTTCGGTGATAGAAGAACATTGAAGAAAACTCTAGCGAAAGGAAAGGCAGTGGTTTTCACTATAGTAACTACAGTTAGAGTATGCCGCATACTTGAAATTATTCTATTTTATTTTGGCCAACCAGATACGAAAGAATCAAAAGAAGAGCATTTAACGATCTACACCGCATGAAATGGATAAATAAATATATGAATGTTTGTTGTTGGGTTCTAGTGTCGCTCTGGTGGGTAGGTAGAGCCACAAGAAAGAGCCATCAGTGATATGGCGGCTTCTTCTTCCTCTCTTAACTTCATCTGCCTTCCAATCGGCATGCGCTGCTTCATGACTCTACCATTCGGAGTCCTCTTCTTGCGTTTTTGTGGCACTGCACTACTCAGCCCTCGAAGAGCCATTCCTTTTCTGAATCGTAATCCGCATGCATTGCACAGAGACTGGAAATAACGTGAAAAATAAAATCAGAAAGAAGTGATCATTCGAAAAATATAGAATAATTAGAGCGACGGAACCGTTGATGGCGTACCCTTGGCCCATCTGGACCCGCCCTCCATAGTGGGGTAGTCCTTGTGTGGCAATCCCTGCAGATCTTCTCTGCTTCAACGTCCACTACCTTCGGCTTCCATCTTCTACCCTGTTTCATAATCTGTAGTTTCGAACCGATGGAAATAATCAATCTTGAAGGACCGTGGCTCCAATGCTTTTTCCTCTTAATTTCTATGTGTTGATACTCCACCCAACAGAAACTCAGTGGGGGATAGGAGGGGTGGCATCTACGGGTGATTCAGTTCGTGAATTATGATGGGGCACTTTTCTGTTAATCAGGGGGTGACGTTGATATATATAGTGGGAGTAATAGAGAGAGCCAGAATCTTATGGAGCAGGTGCTAAGGTGTCCAATTAGATGAATCCAAATTTTGTTTTAAGAAACAAACAAATATAAAAGCAGCCAGTGAGATGTGGATGTGACAGAAGACAAAGCCCGACCCAAATAATCTATAGTCCATATGCACCAAACAACTTAAAGCAATTTCTTGTAATGGCCGATCGGTTTTAAGACCAGTTATCGTCTAATAGAGCCCAAATGAACAACTGGAAATAACCAAAACCCCCACACGCCGCAAAAGGATAGCTCCCCATAAATACATCAGCAGTTATCAGATAATTTAGCTGTAGAAGGAAAACCGAAGGGAAAAAACTATAAAAATGCTGCATGAGTTACTATGAAAGGGAAAATATGTATTTCCTCTAAAGAAGGAGGGAAGATCCAAACTGGACAAAAGAGAAATCCAGCGCGGCAAACACCAGCATTTAAACGTCACATGAAATGAGACAGAAATACGGCAATAAGTTAGATTTAGTATTTCTAAAGCAACCCTCCGCTGCAAGAGAGTCCGCCCGTGAACTGGTGTGTCTCCCGGACTCCCACCCCGATCTCTTTATTCTGCATTAAAACAGAGCATGTGCTTTGCTTGGCTGAAGAATCAGAACCTATGTGATATATCGGTACATCGGTATATCGGCTTACGCCTTGACTGAAGCTATTTACAGAGCATTGCTTGTCTCAGACAGGGCCCACTTCCCAAAGAAAACTCTCCCTGGATTGGCTTGCTCTTATATTGACGATTTGGCATGGCCTTTTTTTTCCCCCCCTTGATGGCTGTTTTTTTTTAAAAAAAATTGTTTGATAATAAAAATTATATTTCATCCCATCAAATTTAATATCATACAAAAATTGCCTGGTGAATTAGATAGAAGCAGGATCGTATAATGGCCGGGCGACAATACGGAGCGAGCTCTGGTTTTTCTGCTTTACCTTTTGGGTCGATAGTAAGATATTGATAATAGCTTGCCTTTTCCAAGCTAACTGTCCTGTAGTTGCGCTTGATTTTATATTAATTAACTACTCCCTCCGTTCTTTATTATAAGAGACGAATAACCGAATTACGTTGATAAAAAAATAGTTAAAATTAGTTAAGAATAATCAATGTGTAAAAGGTATAATTTTTTTTCCAAAAAGGCCATCATTAATAAGGAGAGAGCATGAGAGAGAACAATGGTAAATTATTTAAAGAAAGAGAAGTGGGAAAGAGAGAGAGTATGAGTTGGAGACAATAAATATGGGTAAAATAGGAAATCAACACAAAAAAATAGAGACAACTTTTAAGTGTCTCTTATATATAGGAACATGCCATAAGCATCAAATGTCTCTTATAATAAGGAACGGAGGGAGTAATTGTTTAGAGGAAAAAAGTCGCTGCTTTGTGGTTTGTCAGTATAATTTTTTTGGGCACCCATAGTTTTAAGTTGTAATGACGAGAGCCCGATTCCGGTAAAAAAAAAAATGACGAGGGCCCGATGGCTGTGTCAACGTAATGAAAAATATAAAATAACAAAAAAATATTTGGATTTTCTCGTGACAAGTACACATACGGATGCTTATAAAAGTAGCGGTGGAAAGAAGACGACAGCATAAGGAAACAGCACAGGCCCTGGGGAGGATAAGGTACGAAAATGGAAAGGAAGCTGTCCCGCTCTGCAAAGAAGCTTGCGTCGTCTCCTATTCAAGAACTGTCATACCTTGCTCAGAGAAGCAACGCCATCAACCTCGCCGAGGGCTTTCCCGACTTCCCCGCTCCTTCCCATATAAAAAATGCTGCCATTTCCGCCATTGTTTCTGACTTCAACCAGTACAGGTGGATTTTCTGGAACTGTTGAAGTATTAAGCAAACATCTTGCTTACAATTATAAACGAAGTTACATCCAGCTAGTTTAGAATTTAGATTGCATGTGTGCTCGTTCATTTTGGATCCACACCTTGCTTTTCAGTTTTTCCGAACTTTGACAGATTTCACTGTTTCTAATTTGAGACATGTGCAAGGAATATGTGATCACCTTGCAAAGATAGTCAAGGAAATGCATGGTTTAGACATCGACCCTCTTACTGACGTGGCTATTTGTTGTGGTCAAACTGAAGCGTTCGCTGCAGCAATTTTTGCAAGTATGTATTTTTTATTTGCTTCCTAAGCATCAAGACATGAGTTGATTAGATACTTTGGCCCCTTTTTCTTTTGTCCACCTCATCATTTTTCATCCTGTATTCCAATTAAAACAGTAATTGACCCGGGTGATGAGGTCATTGTGTTCGACCCTTCTTATGAAACTTATGAAGCTGGCATTCTTTTAGCTGGGGGAGTCCCGGTAAGATTTCAATCCATTTGGCAGCTATCATAAAGCCTGCAGTCTGGTGTTGCAGCTTCCCGTTTTGAACTGGCCGGTTTGAAACTTTGATTATATATCTATTTGTCTATTTGTTTTTGGTGAACTTTATGGGCATCACAGGTACACGTGCCACTTGACCCGCCTCAATGGACCATGGATCCAACCAAATTCCTGAACTCATTTACTGAAAGAACGAAAGCCATAGTGTTGAACAGGTTGGAAATTCCTTTAACTATATTCAACCTTAGATAGACTTTCATCCTCATCATAGAAGCCTCAAACTGGCTATTTTAAGAATGAGACTGAGAGAATAGTGATTGAGTGAATCAAAATCCTGTCTCACGCCTAAACTGTAAAGACGCATAATTTTTCCAGGTTTTTAGCAATGTGAACGTTAGAGTTGTGTCTTAAAATCCTTTCTATGTATTCTGCTGGCAAATTCATCATTCAGTCTTTCTTAATTTTTCATCTTCAAGAAAATGAAATCCGATTAGTTCTGATATGCTCTAATCGTTTGAGGCTAGTTGCAAACTTGCAATTCTTGGAGGAGTTTGGTGTGCTTTTAATGTGTTTGTTTCCCGTTTTGATGTTTTGCTCTTGCTTAAGTCTTCTTTTTCCGAAGTGTGTAAAGCACCTGAGAATAGACTGTAGTTGTAATGTTAACAAAAGATAATGAAAAGTTTCTTGGCTTCAAGGTGTTGAGCCGTAGGAAAACAACCCATATAAGATATTTTAAATTGATCAAAACTTGTCAGCATCATTGTGAACGTGAATGTTAAGAGGATGTGCTTATCCTCAGATTATGGTTTATGCCAATGCTAACATAAATTTCAAACAGCCCTCACAATCCAACTGGCAAAGTTTTCACAAGAGGCGAGCTAGAGGCTATTGCTGGAGCATGCTGCAGCCGAAATTGTTTGGCTGTAACAGATGAAGTATGATGCTCCTTTTCCTTATGCTGGTGGAACTTCAATTTGAGGGTTTCAGCAAGAAATTGTCTGGTGATATACAATGATTACTCATGTTCCATATGAATCTCCTGATAGTAATGCGGTCAAGTATAACACGAGGAAATATGCCTCGTAGCACAAATTTTTATTGTAGAGAGTAGAGACAAAGCGTTTGTGTCAAGTTATGGTGATGTGTGTTCATTCTATTATCAACATCCCAATTTTAACTTTGCATTGGCTTCCTTGCCTCATTCTTTCTTTATTGAATTGCTAGATAAGGAAAATTTATCTGGCTAACATGTACATAATGTTTTCTCCTGGTACTTTATGCAGGTATATGAGCATATAACATATGACAACGCAAAGCACATTTCCCTTGCCTCATTTTCAGGGATGCAAGAACGGACTGTTATAACCTCTTCTTTATCTAAAACTTATAGTGTCACAGGTTAATGCTGCATGAAACCAAACTGTACCTGCAATATATTCTTTTTAAAAACAAAATCACGAGTTTTTTTTAATGAGAATAACATAATTTTATTGACGGTCGAGCATCAAACAGGTTGGAGGGTTGGATGGGCTATTGCCCCGGCATTCATTGCATCTGCAATCAGAAATATTCATATCAGAACCACGGATTCTGCTCCTGCACCTTTCCAGGAAGCCGCTCTGACTGCTATGAGTAGCCGCCCTGAGTACTTTGAGTCAATGAGAAAAGTAAGAGACCAAGATATGATTATTGTTCTTATAAATCATTAAATATGACCATGTTCCAAACAACTAGAATTTACATCATAATACAACATGAATTGTTTAGGGTCTGACGAATGATTTGTTCTGTTCACAATTTGTGAATACTGAGTCTTGCAATAGATTCTACAACCATATCGTTTCTATCTTTGTCATTCATCTTTTTGTGTTTCTTACTTTGTACTCAGGATTATGAATC